CCTTCATTATTTACCCCAGTATCCTTGAATCAGTTTACATTTAATAACTTACTATGCATAAATATTCATTGGCACAAGTCTAAATTCCAAGTTCAACCCTAGCGCATACACGCTCCTGCTCAAGGTCACTGACGCTGGAACTCTCACGTACACAGAGTGTCACCGCTGTGCCAGCGGTGCGTCACACGTGGTAGGGCTGCCTACAGTATTTTAATTTCATCTACATAATTGATTTTCTTTCTAGTTTTGTGATTGTAAATATTTTATTTTATATGTAAAGATTCTCCGCAAGCCCATATACCCATATCGAAGGAATGCATTAAAAATAACTATTCCGCCATGTTGGATTTAGAATGACGTCACACAGCTAACCGTGCTTTTTAATCAAAACGTGTATATACAAATTTTCAGCTCAACCGGTTGAAGATATCTGCTTCAAGATTGAGTTGCAAGATTCCACCCGAACAAACATAGTTACATACCTGCAAGTTAATTAAAAGTTTGTAAAAAACCCGACTGCTGATTTTTATTCTTACATAATTCAATAAAAGAATATTATTTTAAACATACAAGTTATATTTATTTGTAAGTCATGGCACAGTCGGGTAAAAAGGAAATTACCTACACTGTAGGTAAATCTTACTAGGTAGGTACTGTAGGGATCGTTTCATGCAAACTAATTATTGTCATTGAAACACTTTTATTTTCAAGAAACTACATTATTATTATCAATAAACAAAATACTGTTTTTTAAACTCCGCACAAATCTCAATATTTAAAAAAAAAATCAGCTTTCAATTCCTGTCAACAATCCGTCTCTTTTCCAAATAACCTAATAACCTGCCAGTATACACCAAAAATATCCGATCACTAAAAATCTTACCATTTATTACTCTGGTAAATTATTTCATAGATATTTCATTTAATTCAATAATGTATGTAGTTTAGTTATTCAATAATGTATGTAGTTAAGTTAAGTAAGAAGATAGCCTAGTCTAGGAAACTAACTACCTATTATGTAGTTTTGTTTTTAACGCGAGTGTAGGTAGATTACTCGTTTGTCTCTTTTTTCACCCTATTCACTTATTTATATATTATTCCAGATATTTTGCCCGATGGAAAAATCGAAATACCTAAATATTAAAAACAAATTACTTACTAGTAGATAGGTATATAAAAAAATATTCTATAGTCTTACCTTTCCAATATTTCAGGTAATTTAAAAAATGTTGTCTCTGGGTGCGTTATTGAAGAGTTCAAGCAAACAAAAACAGTACAATATCGTCGTTTGTTCTTTGCCATATTAAATGTGTATGTATCTGCTTAATTCAATCAAATATTTACAATACAAATCGCACGTTTAAGCACGGCTAACTGCATAAAAAACAACTCACTCCGTTCGGTCGTCGCTGCGGCGCATTCGCGTCTGGGTGACCCCCGAGAGTCCCGCGAACTCGAGTGGCATAGATATGATTTGCTTTCCGACCGTTTGTATGAAGATAGAATACTGTATGATATATTACCGTGACATTGGTGAGTTTCTTTCCAGCTAGTCTTTGATAAACGTAGTTTATATTCTCTTTGGTATGTGGTGGTAGCCATCTTGATTGGCGGGAAAACTTTAAAGCGGGCGGTTTAAATTTTTCTTGCAGAAATTTAAAATTCATTTAATGTATTAAAAAATTGTATTTATTTCATATTTTAATGAAATAATGGAAACTGAAAGCGGCGGAATGAATACATCTAAAAATAAAACGCACAAAAGGCATAAAGAAGATCTCGTCTGATGGATCGATGTCAGAAGAGGAACATGAAAACAAGTATGCACCTTTTAGAAAAAGGGATCACATCAGGGTATACCCACACAACGCTCAAGGTACAAGTTTTATTGTATATCTAGAAAGTTATAAGCCTGACGAGAGGTTTGGCAATAAAAATTCGATCTACCTACTTGAATAATATATTTGGTCGTTTCATAAAAGGTGTTAAGCAGCTGAAAAGAATCAATGCAATGAAATATGCAGTTATTTTTGATAACCCAAAAAATGCAAATGCTCTCCTTTAAAATATAAACTTTTTAACCAACCATGAATTATAAGCCTGCATCAAATGCAGAGTGCGTTGGAATTATCAAATTTGTTCCAACTGAGTTGAGCAATGAGAACCTGTTTAACAAATTAGTACCTTCCTTAGAAATATTATCAATCAGAAGATTCACAAAGAAGACTCCAGAAGGTGTTATTCCATTAAAAACAATACATGTTACTTTTGTCGAAAATGTTTTACCAGATTATGTTACCTATGAACTTTGTGCTTTACATGTAGAACCTTTTGTGAGACCTGTCTTACAGTGTTATAAATGTATGAACTTTGGTCATACTTCCAAATTTGTTCCAAATGTGTAAAAAAAACATTGTTTGCTCTATTTGTACTGGTCCTCATTCATTCAAGGAATGTGACAATACTGAAAATCCTACATGTGTCAACTGTAAGGGAGGTCATATAGCAAATTTCAAATACATGCCCTATAAAAAAACAAAAAGTAGAAAGAAAATAAGAATAGAATCACACTGATATTATAAAGGCGAAAGTTTGTGAGTGTGTGAGTATGTGAGTGTCTATGTTTGTTACTTCTTCACGTCTAAACGGCTGGAGCGATTTTAATAAAATTTGGTATGGAGTTAGCTGACACCCTAGATTAACACATAGGCTAATTTTATCCCAAAAAATGTTAGGTTCCAGAGGGATTTTCAAGAAACTAAGTTAACGCAGACGAAGTCGCGGGCGACCTCTAGTATTAAATAAAATTACTATAATGTCACAGTTTCCACAAATAAACAAACAAACTTACAATAAAACATTATCCCCAGACATTTATAAAGGCGAAAGTTTGTGAGTGTGTGAGTATGTGAGTGTGTATGTTTGTTACTTCTTCACGTCTAAACGGCTGAAGCGATTTTAATAAAATTTGGTATGGAGTTAGCTGACACCCTAGATTAACACATAGGCTAATTTTATCCCGAAAAAATGTTAGGTTCCAGAGGGATTTTCAAGAAACTAAGTTAACGCAGACGAAGTCGCGGGCGATTTCTAGTATTAAATAAAATTACTATAACATCACAGTTTCCACAAATAAACAAACAAACTTACAATAAAACATTATCCCCAGACATACCACTGCATAAAAAAAATGGATGCGTGTAACTTATGTACGCGCGTGAGAAGTTATACTTCTTTAGCATCATTAAAAATATTTTTTAATTGCATGCAAATAATTAATAATTACAATAAAATAATAAAAGGACTGGAAATGGATAGTTAACACAGTCAATTAAGTTCAGTTTTAATTTGAAAAATTAAATAAATATTCAAAATATTCAATTAAAATCACTACTGAATTTAAGTTATTAGTCCATATGTAATTAGCACTTGTAAGTAACTAAAACACGTTGTGTCTATATAGAAACTAGAAACATGTGGATAAATATTATAAATATGAAAACAGTGATCAGAGGCGACGAACGTGCCAACATAGTTTTTGACAACGCGATCATCTTATGGAGCTCCGTGGATCGTTCAAAGTACCTTTCGAACAGATGTCTAATAATGGTGGATTATTAACCACTAAGTGGTTAATAATCCACCATTATTAGACACTAACATTCATAACGCGCCCGCGGCCAACTTCATGGTGTTACTATTGTGTTACAGTGATGCGCGCGCATCTAGAAATTTCACTCACATGATTTTTTCATAACGCGCCCGCGGCCAACTTCATGCTGTTACTTTTGGGTTACAGTGATGCGCGCGCATCTAAAAATTTCACTCTCATCATTTTTTCATAACGCGCCTAAAGAAGTATAACTTCAATAAAGAAAATGGACAATAAAGATTTGTTATTACAATTTATTAATAATGAGGCAATATTATTAACATTTACAATTTTAACTGATAAAGATAAATTACAAGACAATTAAGCAAACCTTGATAGAAAATGTTAGTAAGAATGGAGAGCTACAATTACCTATAATTATTTAAAAATATGTCAACGTAATATTCAAAGTTTGAAACCAAAGAAAGCCTTAGTTCAAAACTTTATTTATAGTAATGATATAGATATTTTGGTGTTAAATGAAACTTGGCTTAAATGTACTGATAATTTTTATATACCTATCTGGTTACAGAGTTCTACGCAAAGATTCAGGTAATGATTATGGTGGAGTAGCCGTTTTATACAAAGAAAATATTGTATGTGAGTTATTATGCACTGTTTTCACAAATGAAATTCAAAACATAGCAATTAGTGTTGAGACAGATAAAGGCTTATTGTCTATGGGGACGGCCAGAGTGCACTCAGATTCAGATTCAGACTCAGAAAACAAGCGCGAGAAATATACAGTGTAGTTTAAGCAGGTTGCCTGCTGCCACTATGGCCACCCTGCTTTAACTACATTGTTTATTTCTCGCGCTTGTTTTCTGAGTCTGAATCTGAATCTGAGTGCACTCTGGCCGTACCCTATATTAGGCTGTTATTTCCCTCCAAGAAACAACCGTTTTCCAATTAACACTCTGAAAAGTATAATACGGTCTCTGCCACAACCATTAATTATAACTGGCGATTTAAACGCACATCATACTGCTTTTGGATGTGCAAACAGCAAAGTACGAGGCGTCCAAATCTATGACATGTTAGAAGAGTTCGATCTCTGCATTTTAAATGATGGCACTCCTACCACCGTGAATAGACCTGGCAATGCATCTTCTGCAATAGATGTCACATTTGTATCGTCTAATACAAGGAACTTATAAGAATAAAAGTTTCTCGGTCTAATAATACACCTTCTCGACGTGAACCAACTGCCTAGAATGAAGTCCTAACGAATCTAGTCAAAGAGGTATCTATGAAAAGTGAGATTAAATCTTTAGAAGAGAATAAAACCTGAAATCTTGTCGATCTACCCAAGGGTCGTCAGCCTATTTCTTGCAAATGGATCTTTAAATTAAAAACCAATGCTAATGGTACGATCGATAAATATAAAGCGAGGCTTGTAGCCCGAGGCTTTTCGCAAACACCAGTGGTCGACTATGACGAAACGTTTAGCCCAGTGGCAAAAATGACAACTATCAGATATGTCATAAGTGTTTCGGCAAACGAAGTACTAACGCTCACGCAATTCGATATTCCTACTGCCTTTCTCAATGGATCTCATAAAGAAGAAATATATATGAAGCAGCCCGGAGGCATGAGTGACGGGACTAAACGAATCTGTAAATAAAAGTGAAGCCTGTATGGACTCAAGCAAGCACTAAGATGCTGGAACAAGTGCATTGTAGACTACTTGAAGAGCATAGGCTTTCAACAAAGTCAAACAGATCCATGTCTGTTCATAAAGAAACGTGCACTATCCAAAATAATACTAGCGGTTGATGTTGATGACGGATTGGTGGCAACCACGCACCAAAGGGATGCGGATATGTTCAAAGCTGAACTTAAATGAAGATTAAAGATAACCGCAAAGCCTGCAGAATATTATCTGGGTTTAGAACTGCACCATATTAAAGATGGCTCAATTAGCATATGGCAAAAGCACTACACAGAAAAGGTTTTAGAGCGTTTTGGTATGAGCAGCTGTAAAACGGTAACTACGCCAATACTGAAAAATTCTGAGCAAGGGCAAATGAACAGAGAAGTTACAGATGAGAAATCATTTCCGTATAGGCAAGCCGTTGGAGCTCTTGCATACCTTATGGTTGGAACGCGTCCAGATATTGCGTATGCCGTTGGTGTTGTTTCTAGAACACTAGAAAACCCATCTCAAGAGGATGTTCTTAAGATGAAGCGTATAATTAAACGCGTACAATTAAGCGAAGGTAAAGCTAATGCGCTACCTTCAAGGAACTTTAGGCTACGGAATAATATTCAAGAAGAACTACCAAAGAAGAATTCTGGATGCATATAGTGACTCTGACCATGCAGGCGATGTCAAAGATGGTCGGTCAACCAGTGGCATCCTCTGCATATATGCTGGAGGAGCAATCTCCTGGGCTAGTAGAAAACAGTCGTCAGTGGCGATCTCCACGACCGAAGTCGTAATTATCGTAGCAAGTGAAGCAGCACGCGGGATATTATGGCTACAAAGGCTGTTTAATGAAATCACCTACCTAAAGGAGGCAACAACTCTAAAAATCGTTAATGACGCTGCTATAAAATTGACTCAAAATCCGGAACTGCACCGGAGGACTAAACACATTACTGTGAGACACTTTTATGTACGAGATCTGGTTGCAGAAGGAAACAATACAGGTCAAACACGTAAAGGCAAACCTACAAAATGCTGATATACTGACGAAGCCCCTCAGACCGAATGGGTTTGAGTTGTTTATAGTTTATCCTTCTTCATAGACTTTGCAAAATGGGAGGATTTTGGGGTTTATGTATCCACGGTTTTGTGTCTTATATGAAAAAGAAAGAAGCTTGACAGACATAAGGAATAAAATAAAAGTCAGTCTTTGTTTTATTGTAATGTATTTTCTTTTATCTTAACACTTATGATCTACAAAAATAACGATATCCCCAATCACTTGCCATCTATGTTTGGGAACCAGGAGTCCTATGCAATACTATTTAAATTCATCGTAAGCACTATTAATGGTGTCGATTCTAGCATGATTCTCTAAAGCTAAACTTAAATTTGACAACAGATATACACAGAATGAAAAGGAGAGACTGATGTTAAATTTAGTTTTAAGTTTAGAGAATCGTGTCAGAATCGATACCATTGGCAAGATATAGAGGACTTATAACTAATGACTGGCCAATATGGGAATCTCCAAGGCCGTTAAGTTTATATACGAAAAAAAAAAGGTAGCCATCTTGTTCATTGCTTGGGCTTCTTCTTTTCGAGGAAATTGGTACGTTTTCCAGGAAATAAAGGTTAAAGTGTTTGTAAAACTGTGCTGTGTCAAAAAAATTAATTCACACCGCTAATCGATTAAATAGTACTCAAAGATGGCAGCAAGCGATTCTGGGACCGATGAATCACTTTATCCCATTGCTGTACTGATCGACGAATTGAAAAATGACGATGTACAGCTCCGATTGAATTCTATCAAAAAGCTATCTACGATTGCTTTAGCACTCGGCGTGGAAAGAACCAGATCTGAACTGATTCCATTTTTGACTGAAACTATTTACGACGAGGATGAGGTGCTTCTTGCTCTTGCGGAGCAACTTGGTAAGTTATCATTATTCTTTATTTAACCCTAGCAGCAATAAACTTATGAGTAATCTATGCGTCTCCGTATATTATGCCCCGATTTTCGACATGAGGGAAGGGAAGGGGGTTAACCTTCCACTACCACTCACACAGAAAGAAAACACTTTGTTTTTAGACATATTCTTGAAAATATTAAAAATGTAATGTAAATTTGTATGGAAATCATCAGATTTTGGATCATTAACACTAACCTAACCTTATCTAGAGTAATATGATGATATTTTGGTAATAAGTGTCTTGCATCACTATCTTTATAATAGTGAAAACCACATGTCGAATATGGGGGAAAATATTCTAAACAGGAGCCCAGACATTGATCTGATTAAAAAATTACAACTGGAATATGATAAAAGAAATACTGAAAAACAATGGATAGACTAGAATGTTCCAAATTAATTGTTAGTACTAAAAATTATCTGTCATAAAGAGGATATGTATAAAAATATTATCCATATCCTGTTACTATCCATCACTAATTTTACTGTTTGATTATTTGTTCAATATAACAATATTTCTGTTTCACACCACCAGGAAACTTCATCAACTTGGTTGGTGGTGGAGAATTCGCCCACTGCCTCCTCCCTCCTCTGGAATCGCTTGCTACGGTGGAGGAGACGGTAGTCCGTGATAAGGCAGTGGCCTCGTTGAGAGCTGTGGCTGCTCACCATTCACCCCAGGCCCTCGAGCAGCACTTTGTGCCATTGGTCCAACGGTTGGCAGGAGGAGACTGGTTCACTTCTAGGGCTTCTGCTTGTGGACTCTTTAGGTGAGATGCTTTGATTACTAAATACAAGATTATTTAACATTCAACTCATACTGGTGTCGATTCTGGCATGATTCTCTAAACCTAAACTTAAATTTGACAGCAGTATATCCTTGTCATTCTCTATACAGGATGAAAAGGAGAGACTGATGTTAAATTTAGTTTTAAGTTTAGAGAATCATGCCAGAATTGGTACCATTGTGTTGTTACACTCTAGTTGCTGTGCGTAATATAAGGTCAAAAATAATCAAAGAATTGTACGGTTACATCTAAATATTAAATATTTATGTGTAATTATATAAAATAAAATAGTTGATCATATTTGGCTAGGTAGCAAGAATCAGTTCTTTTATTGTTTTCTGTCAAACCATAATACCCCTCCAATTAATTAAGCACCATAGTAAATAAATAAGACTCACATAAATGCATTGACGAGCAGAGTTTGCTAACTGTTTGTTATATTCAAAGCCCTCAGAAATATGTTCTTTTCAAAAAATCTTAACTTCATCTTTTGATCTTTATGCTCAATATAATATAATATGCTCAATATGAAATAATTATGTATTACTATGTTGATTGTATAAACATTGTGTTAGGGAAACCAATCAATATTAATATTATTACACACATTTCAAAATCCTACTACATACTGAAGGCACTGTCTATACATGGTGGGTACTCAAATTATGCTGTTAATCATGTATCAGATAATTAGTTAATCTATATAGATTTTCTGTACATTCTGTATGCTTTGCGGAGGTTATCTCAGGAACTACTGAAGTGATATATATTTTTTGTTTAATCTTTATTTAAAGATGCTAAACAAAAATAAGAAAAGAGTAACTGAGATGTCAAAGTTGTAAGTGAGTGTTGTTAGAGCATAGCAGATTTTCTGCTCAAATTGGGAGTGCCTGTCTTTTGGTGCTCTTGTGTTTTTGTTGGAGTAAGGTTTCAGGGCTCCATGGGGTAGAGGATTGGGTAAAGGTAGGCAATGGTGCGAGTGATAGCTTTGCTATTACAAGCATCTATAGGTTATGGTGGCCCCTTACCATCAGGCAGGCCATATGCTTATTTTCCACCCTTTTAACTTAAAAAAAAGTGAATACAGCAAGCAACTTGCGCAATCACCTGTCACTTGATCTATGAACAACTGTTTATTGACTCTTATAGTGATTTATGTAACCAGCCGAGTTGCTACCATGTACCTTGTGACTCTTTCTGTCTGTCTATATAAAGCCATTAGTCCTGACATTTACTACAGGCATTAGCACCCACAAATATGCATTGAGCTGTGTACAGACAGTGTGACCAAGATCTTGTAGAATGTGGCTGAAATCTGAACTAATTTAAATTAAAGAAGTCTTATCTATAGAGGAAGGTGTAAATAAACATTTAATATTTGAGAATCTTGCGAACAAAACTGTATAATTACATAAAATTTAATTTTACAGGAGCTGTATAAAACTGAATGACATTCTTACAGTGAGCTTTTGGCATGGTTTTTAATTTATAAATTTGGTAATTTTAACACTGTTTTAGGAGGTTTTGATTGAAAGGTATTTGCATTTCAAATTTTACGGGCCCGAAACCTCCGGACTGTAAAAATAAGTAGTTTGACCAGCCCCCCCTAGCATGAGCACTGCGATATGATATGTAACTCGTTTTTATCACGCTCAAGTGTCAAATTACTATGGAGTTTGACATTTGCACGCGATAAAAAACGTGATATAATGTAAATTGTGGTGCTCATGCTACGGGGGCTGAAGCGTAATTGTACCGTTTTGTTCATTAGCTCCTCATTTTCTATTACTCTTAAAAATAAATAACTCAGTTATTGTAAATTATTAAATAACGTTCCAAGTGCCACAAGAACTTGGTCGCACTGTTAGGTTATTATAGCCTGTGTTCATGATGTGGCTGATTACAATATATATGACAATATTCAGTGTATGCTACACTCGCGTCTCCGCGCCCGTCAAGGCGGAACTTCGTCAACATTTCCGCACGCTGTGCCAAGATGACACGCCCATGGTGCGTCGTGCTGCCGCCTACAAGCTTGGGGAGTTCGCGCGCGTCGTGGAAGTCGAGTATGTGAAGAGCGACCTCATACCGATGTTTGTTACTCTTGCTGAGGTAAGCAAACTATATTTCAGGACACATCCATCGGCCCACCTACTGTTATAAGTTTAACGGTCTGCAGCAAAGATTTATGTTTATGGTTGAGCATTAATTGAGTTGATTAAATTCGACCATGTGTTCTGTAATAAACTTAATTGGCTCCCTGTTCACTGGTGCAGAGATCTATACACTCTTACGGTTCTCTATTCTATACTTTTCCTGCCATCTTCCCCACCTTATCATAAGCAGTTTTTCTCATTTCTATCCTCTTCTTCACAGCTCTCGCTGAGATCCTCTTCTAACATACTTCTTGAGATTCCCTGTCACTCTTCTGACTTCTTTTCTGAGCACACTGCTCAACTGTTGAATTCACTTCCTAGGGGTATCAGAAAGGCTCGTGCACTTAATTCCTTGAGCAATCAAGCTAAAAGCTATTTCCTTTCTTTATCTTAAATTAATTTTAGATCTTATTTCCTTGCTTCTCTTATATTTATGTAACTATAGCTCCTGTATTTACTTTTGCACCCTTCTATATTTCCCTATTATTATTCTATTTTTACCATAGGTTGCCAAGTAGAGATTGCTGTTTAGCAATAAGGCCGCCTCTTGTATACTCTTCTTCATTTTATAAGTTCATGCCTTATATCCTTTGTTGAGTGCAATAAAGAATATATTATTATTATTAATTTTATAAACTTAAGGGTAATGAACCAGCTTTAAAACTGTGTAGATAATAACTTTTTGCTCAATGTAACATTTATTTTTAGCTAGGGGCCATCAAAACTAAAAATACTAGGTGGGCCGATAGATGTATGTGAATCACTGACTCATGCAAGTTAACATATACACTTTCAACAGTAGCTTCCGAGACACAAGTTTCTGAAAAGGTGCATTCATTCTTATTATTTGTAATCTATGCAAGAAAACATACACAAATTTTACTAACTCTATTCCACTGTCACTTTTCTGACCAACTAATACATATTGAAAATCTGACCAAGTTACATCAAAAATACAGCACACCTTTTTGTATTCATAGTGTCTTTTGTGTGCAGTTTTCCTATTAGTTAGTGCTTAATTGATTCGACCATTATACGAAATTAATACATAAACCTTTCCTCTATATTATTGATTCGACCATTATACTAAATTAATACATAAACCTTTCCCCTATATTCCTTCTTTTCCTGGGCAATTATAAACTTTATATTTTAGGGATTATACATTACTGTCAAAGGAAACTAGACTGCCTGGTATCGATAAAATCTAAACTTTTATGGCATTGGCTGATGAACAATGCAGGATGAACAATACTCGGTGTACCTGCTAGCAGCCGAAGCTTGCGCTGCAGTAGCAATCCTACTTCCCCCTGAAGATATGGAACAGCTGGACAGATCCTTGTTAAAGCTTTTATGTCCACTTACTGTAGACAGAATTCTTCCTATACTATAGGATGAACAAGACCAGATCTGCCTGGTGCTTGCGGGGCAGGAGCAGCTTGCGGGGGTTATTAGCAGTTTTCTTCCCCTTGAGGACATGGAACAGTTTGACAGCCTCCTTCTTAAGCTTTCTATCCTTGTTATATGTCCATTGATTTGTTTTCTGTAAACAGTTGTTGCTATATCGTAGGATAGAAAAGTCTCCCTCCCTGCCACCCCTTTATGTGTCCATAAATTCTGTAAACAGTTGTTGCTATATCGTAGGATAGAAAAGTCTCCCTCCCCGCCACTCCTTTATGGACATTACATCCTTCTCGTTTCCATGGACTGAGTATAGTTAGTTTTACATATATTGTAGGATGAACAAGACTCAGTTCGCCTGCTGGCAGCCGAAGCTTGCGCGGCAGTAGCTGCCTTACTGCCTCCTGAAGACATGGAACAACTTGTGATGCCAACTGTACGCAGCCGCGCTGGGGATACGTCGTGGCGAGTGCGATATATGGTCGCGGACAAGTGAGTCTTATGATATTTATTTGTTTATAATCTTAGGGCAGCTAACAGCTTATGTTAATAAAAATAACAGCAAAAAACATTACTAAAAGCTATTGACAAGGTACCACATATAGAAATCTGTACTAATTAAAATACTAAACAAAAACACAGAAGCGTCAACCATATAGTAATAACAGTTTTACATGAAATGATAATATTGAGAAAGAACATTTAAGTTATGTACTAATAATACTTTCATTTCACTTAAAAAGCAGCCACATTAAACCCAATGCAGGAAATCTGCGCTATTAAATGCAAGGAGTAACAATATTGAAACGAAACTTCGCACATTTCTTATTGGAATATTTAATTATTTATTTCTGAATATTCATTCCCCAGAGAATAGTTTGAAATAAAAATTCTCTATCCTGTAAAATCTTGTGGAAATCGTACAAAATAACTATTTTGTGCAGATTCGTGGAACTGCAACAAGCAGTCGGTCCAGAATTAGCTCGCTCTGACCTAGCTCAGATCTTCCAAGCTCTACTGAAGGACAGTGAGGCGGAAGTTCGAGCCGCCGCCGCTGGAAAGGTAAGTGAAATGCGTAAGCTACATCACTTAATTTTATGGGGCATGTCATGTTTAATTATCTATATTTTATATTTAAGCATTTAAATGCTTCATGTTAAAATATTGTGACAATTGACTAAATAAAATTCTAATTGACCTAAGGCTGGAATTAAACCAAACCAGTGTCCTTTGCATTGAGGCAAATGCATTGGTGTCAAATTTCTTCTAGTATATTTCAGGCGGTAAGGCATTACAACCACAATGTCAAATGAGATAATTTCACAAGTATGAAACATTCAAAAGAAGAAATTAATACGAGAAAATTATATCTCTAATTATTGTTAGTTTACCATTGATGTCTTCATTGTTTTTAATTGACTACATAATAATATCTTTCTATTCCCAGGTAAAAGACTTCTGCATGAACTTGGACAAGGCTCACCAGGAGCACATCATCATGACCATGATACTGCCGCAGATCAAAAATCTTGTATGCGATCCCAACCAGCATGTCAAATCTGCCCTGGCTTCAGTCATCATGGGCCTCAGCCCCATAGTAGGAAGGCAGAACACCATCGAGCACCTCCTGCCCCTTTTCCTGACCCAACTCAAAGACGAGTGCCCAGAAGTCAGACTTAACATCATCTCCAATCTGGAGTGTGTCAACGAAGTAATCGGAATACAACAGCTGGTACAATCCCTATTACCAGCCATTGTGGAATTAGCCGAAGACACCAAATGGAGAGTACGGCTCGCCATCATCGAACTGATGCCTCTTCTAGCTGGACAATTGGGACAGGAGTTCTTCGATGAGAAACTCACTGGACTCTGCATGTTTTGGCTAGCAGACCACGTTTACGCTATTCGTGAAGCCGCTACACTCAACTTGAAGAAGCTGGTGGAGCAATACGGATCCCAATGGGCAGAAACCAACATCATACCCAAAGTTTTAGCCATGTCCCGGGAACAAAACTACTTACACAGAATGACCTATCTGTTCTGCATAAATGTCTTGTCTGAAGTGTGCGGAAAGGATGTTACTACACGAGTACTATTACCCACCGTTTTGTCCATGGCTGATGATAATGTTGCTAATGTGAGGTTCAATGTTGCCAAAACCCTCCAAAAGATGGCGCCCTTTTTAGATCCGGCGGTAATACAACCACAAGTGAAACCAGTATTGGAGAAATTGAACGTAGACCCGGATGTCGATGTGAAATACTTCGCGTCCGAAGCTATAGTTGGCATCGCGGGTTAGTTTTCTTTTAAATGAATATAATCGCATTTATATTTGTATCCATACTGAATATTTTAATAGGTCGAGTTTCCTTCCGAACAAATATAGTAACCCATCATATTTTCCACTAATTTGTTAAATAATAACATTATTATATATTGTCGCTAAATTTCAACTAGAAACGCTGCTCGCAAAAAAATGTTTCAATTTGACAAACTCAATCGTAGTTCTCGGAAGTAGCGTGAACCGTTGTGATTAATATAATTTAATAAATTGTAGAATGAATATGGATGCCTCGCCATTATTATAGGAAATCACAATGTTTTGTAGATTTTTTAGCGATTATAAGGCTATGTGCGCACTGTTTTTCCATTCTAAAAATAATTTCTAGACTGTAGTAAAAATTATCTTGTACAGTGTACGCTTAAATTAACAATCCATCTTTACTCACTTTTTATATTAATCTATTGAAATTGTATTTTAGTGTATCAAGGCAACGATGATAAACAGAATGCTTATATTACAGCTTTAGCAAGGGTGCCCAATATGTGGAATCCCTATTAAAAACCCATATATAATTTATATTGTATACAGCTCAGTCTAATTAATTACCAAATGCATAAACAATTAGGAAATGCACACTAGAAAACTCACAAATCTTTCTACACTAAACCTGTTCAGAGTTCGTTTTGATTTCCAAATACCATTTTGTATGTAATAAACCAATCACCTTCATGTAAAAGCTACATACGTATTATGGTCTCAATTGTGGTAAAAGCCTTTAAAAAAAGAAAAATCTTTGATAATAATAATGCCATTGATTGGACCACACACAAAAGGTTTGATGCACCTAATACTTTAAGGAAATTTTATTTTTTCCCCAGTATTGTATGCCGCAAATCACAATGCATATAAAGACAGTGCGAAAACTATATCCCAGCCCCCATAGCATGACCATCTCATTAAAAAGCGATTTATCGACTTTGACTGTCAAACTGCAATTGAGTTTGCCAATTAAGTGTTGTTTAAAGCTTTTTAAATTGCGTTGTACATGCTGAGGGGGCCGGTTAAGTATAAGTTTTGGCCCAAGTTTTAAACTAACTTTATACGCTCTATAATAAGCAATATGTCTTCGCTGTTGTATTATGTCGCATTGCCGCATTCGTAGGTGTAAATCGATGGGAGCTGTCGACTTTATTCCAGTATGCACTTAACCTATATTCAAATTGATACTGTAAGAAGATTTCGAAAACATTTCGTATCGTTAAAATGTATTAAAGTAATAAAATAAGTATAAAATTATAATCTTGTTTTATTATTGTAATTCAATTCCTCTGGGTGTCGATTCTGCTAAATTAAAGTGATAATTACTTATTTACCACTTTAAATGATAATCTTAATCACTTTATAGTGGTTAGCGCGTCCGACGGCGATCAAAAATTTACTATCTGCCTAACGTGCCTTCCGAAGCATGTTGGTCCCGGTTGTATCTGCAGTCGTTAGCAACCACCAATCGGCACTGGCCCACGTGGTGGGTCATGGCCCATTCTGCGTATGCCCTCCATAGGGAGGTCCATGTCCCAGCCTTGGGGACATCAATAGACTGATAATGATGGTGATAATCTGGAACCCTGTCCTCAGGAAAGGTTACCCTGCAGATCAGGGTCTACTACCAATTCCAATTGTTATCTATGGCTGTAGCTAGTTATATCTTATGGTTTAATTTTGTTATTTCTGACCGCCAAAGGTTTTCAAATACCAAGGGCCTGATTTAGAGGTTTGGCTGCCCAGTGGAAACGAAGGACTGGAGGCCCCTAAATCAATAATCCTAATGCAATAATGTAGTATCAAAATGAAATAAACATAATTGTATTAAAAAATCAACAAAATACTAAATTGAAATTTTTTCTTTATTTAAAATTTTATAAAATATTAGTCTTTCCGAGTAAGTATTGTTACACAAAAATAAAGAGCATTCTGGTTGTGACTCTAGTTTTTTTCTTTGTTAGTTGCTTGTGTTGATGGCTGGTTGTGACTCATCTTCACTTGCTTCGCTATGAAATGTAAGATAACGTATCTTATCAACCTCCACTCCACCTTCTTTAACACATTGTAGTATAGCCAACTGTAGTCGCTTCACTTTGTGTTGGCCGGCGAACTCAAACAAATCACAGGTGTTTTCTGCAGTTATCATACTAACTAATTTAAAAACACATTTTTGCTCTAAATCTTTTATCATGTAGTAGGATGCCAAAAGCAGCAACTGCTTCAGGTCCAGGACTGCCTTTGGTAAAGTGCCTAAATATAAATAGTCTTTGAAGTATTGCAATGCAGCTTTAGAAGTGTTCAGTTTATCTATTGTACCATCAGTGGTCTCTCGCCATTTTCCACTTAGCATTGCTTTTAAGACTGGGCTTGCAGCAGCAAGTACTGCACGATGCATGCGTATTGAACCATCCTCCCCCTTTAGCTCAAAATCAGTCAACTCTGTGTCATCATGAAGAAGTGTTAAGGGGCAAGAACTTGTAACTATATCAATATGCCCAGTAACAATAAAACAGTATTTTTTCCGTTTTACATTATCCTGTAACAAGTGCCATGTTCCATCGTCACTTATGAAATTTTTATCCGTAATACTCATCATGTCATCATCATGTTTACTCGTAACTTTTATGATGTAAATCAAGTCGTCATCTTCGTATAGTTTTACAAATCTCACAAAAATCAAATTTTTATATATATTTGAATTCATATCCTCACTCAATAAGGCAATTACTTTGACCTGAAATGCTACTGCATTAATTTTAAATTCTCCAGTAGCCCATTCTTTGGATGCATAAGCGGCCTCGTTTGATACTATTAAGGTAACTTTCAACGAATTTCCTGTTAGAATTAAGTTGCTGACCTTCATCCTAGAAACAATGAAATATAGAGTCAAACACGTGAGTCAAATTAATTAATTATCTACCTACTTAAATTTATGGAAAAAGTATATGGTACAATACCAAAATACATCTACAAAAAGTAAAATTTAAAACTTTTGTTATTTAATGAATTTTAAAGGTAAGCAATATTATTTTATGAAGGTAAGGTACATATATATTGTCATCCGTTAAAGTATAGGTCAAGATAATTGATGATTAAACGAACTTACCTGTATGTGAAGTTCTATCACAATTATACGAGTGATTCGTACGAAAAGATTTGTAACACCTGTAAAAATAATATTTCAATTGACTTATGTAATAACCACGGAGGAAAAACAAAGAGGAGCTGGCCTAAGCAACTGTGCACTGTGATTTTCAACTAGGTCCTGACGTCATCATTGTGGGCGGGGCCTAAGTCAGTATGCTTTCAGCGTTCGTCAGGTGCACACTTAACGAGACTCGCATTATAAGTGTTTTTTTGCGTTTTTAACAAGAAAAGGATGAAGTTTTGTGTTTTACTATGTCAAAGTTACTCAGACAGACGTTCTGATAATATGGATGGCATCACATTTCATTTGTAAGTAATTTTATACGTAATTAAATATATAAGTTCTAGAACATTCTCAGCCTCAGCTATCAGCGTTAAAATTCTACTACTTGACACCAGATGGCGACACTTTTAGGAAGAAAATACACAAGTTTACGTATAATTTTGCAGTAGTATATTGTAATAATCATACGTAAATACTGAAAACTGTTATACACTTATTCCTAAATAACTTTTAGTATCTAAAACAGTAATTTTATCAATATATTACTAACTGGCCGCCATCTGTCGTCATATAGAATAACTTTTTAAACGTTACAAATATCCAGGACCGTAATACGTATTAAATTATTTTACCAAGTAAATAAATTTTAATTATTTTTATGTTCGTTTTAGATTTCCATCCAACGATAATTTAAAACAGCAATGGATTTCAAAACTTAATAGACCGGATTGGACACCATAGAAGAAGAAGATATTTCCATTTTAAATGAATCTTCTGTGCAAAAAATTAATATTACATCAGAACGTTATTGCATTTTAAATAAAATGAGTTTCGAGTCTTCGGATAGCACGGATGTCGAGCCTATGCCTGACGATATGTTATTGGAATTTGATGAACAATTAAATACAACTATAGGTGACTATTTGCGCCGTCAAATAGTAGCATATATTTCTGGGTATGTGGTCAAATATTTACATTCCAAGATCAAATGTGAGAGCTGTCTCAAAGAATAATATGCTGATAACTACGACGATAGTGACCTTGATTTGATAAAAACTAAAAATAAGGGTGGTCTTACTTTCCCATCTAGAGATGTCATAAAAATATGTATACGGACCGAAGGCAGTATTCGTTGTGTTAAATCGCAATCTTTGAATACTCCTAACTTTCGTAAACATAAAATTGTATCGAATACATTAAAATCACTTATTGGACAAGATTGTTTCAAAAAATCGGCCAACCATATGTTTGACCATTCACCTACAGTTAATCATGTTGTATTTCTGATGAAATCGATTGCAGAAAAATATATTGATATTCGTTTTAAGCATTTTGCCACAATACAAAACGATAGGGCAACCAACCGACAACAACTAACCAAAACTATTATTTACAGGTAATTGATGTTTTTTAATAAAATTATGTTTGTAATAACATTTTGTCTATTATTTTTAAACTACCTTAAAATTTAAATCTAAAGAAAATATAACTAGAAAAATATCCACGCGGACCAGGCAGCAGACGGGAGCGGGTGCGGGTTCGAGTCCCGTCTGCTGCCTGGTCTGCCTGGATTTTTTTACATCAAGCAGTTACATGTTTTAAAATAATAAAAATTATACCTTAAAAATTTTAAAATCGGTCAAATTTGTTAACGTTTATTTTATTTATTTACCTACATATTTCATTTTTTTGAAGCTTCAAGTTCTGACGTACGTCCCATTATATACAAAACTTTTGACATCTAGTGTTAGATAGCTGAACTACTACGTAGTAACATAAATATCAACCTAAGCTAGTTTTGCTATTAGCCGATAGATGAAATATTGAGAAGTGGGCGGAGCTGAACACCCCGCATCCCGCAAATTATCACGCGTCGTTTCTTGAGGAAATTTAATCACCACACCTCCTCTTTGTTTTTCCTCCGTGGTAATAACGCTCACCACTCTCTGCACTAATTTGAGGGTATATTTGAAAAACTATCGTGTAACAGCGCGTGGGTAGACCGAGCCTAGCTCTGCCAGTCGCTCGCTCCCGCCTTCATTAGTTTAGAGTACTACTAGCTTTTGCCCGCGACTTCGTCCGCGTTATCGTCGTTTTTCGTAAAAAAGTAGCATATGTCCTTCCTCAGGGTTCCGTGGTTTTGATGTGACAGACAGATTAACGTTCGTATTTTAGTAGGGAAATATAATACTGTTAAAAATATCGCAATAAGGAACCGCAGAATATTATTATTATCACTGTGCCCCGAGACCATCAGCGTGTAACTCCTTGTATGTTATTATGTTAATGTATTGGTAATATTGTTTAGATCGCTTTCACATGAGTCTTAAGTACATATAGAATGAAAATACTTCAGCGCAAAGCTTCCGGGTAGACTACGTTGAAATTTGACCCGTCCGGAACGTGAACATAAAAAATTCTAGGACTGCTAACCCGGGAAAGACCGACATAACTGACCATGTGAAAAACAACTGACACCGAGATCTACTCCAACAACACGAAAGGTCTGCCCTTGAGCCTTATTTATTGTCATTGCATAACACACCGATACTGGGAATTGCGTTCTTTTAAATTGGAATGGAAAATTATTTGGTATTATGGGAATTCTGGGAATAAAGATGGTTTCTCCTGCACCGCAACCTATTAAAATTTGAGCCTCGATTACATTTTGTTGCAACTGGGTTACTTTAAGCCGAGTTCCATTGCAAATTTCTGGTGGTCTTAAATTTCGGAGCAGAATAATCGGAATGCCAATTTTTAAACAAATTTCATGAGAAGGAAGTACGGGCATATTTAAAGAATTTAAAAATTCTATCGGGTAATTAGTGGCTTCTTGTTCATCGGCCATTCTATTTATTGAACTATAAACTTTGCTTTCCCCCTGGATATTCGACAGTATTTTATTATTAATCTCAGATGCCTGGACATTGCGAAGAGTTAAAATGGACCTTTCGCATAGCCAAGAATTGTTCTTATTTAATATATTTGTTACGTCACCGTAAACTGACGATGTAAGATGTTGTTGGGATTGCACTATACAACATAACTCAGAATAAGTTTTCCTTGGTGTAGCAGTGGATAGGTATCTTTGGTGAAGGTATTTTCTTTAATAATATATCAGAAAATTCACGATCATCCGGGTTATCTACAGTTCTCACTCGCATGTTTATAGTCAAATGCACCGATTGTATATCACGCCACAAATAAGAGCTTTTCAGGCAAGCCCTAACCTCAGCAGCTCGGGTTCCCCGTGGTATTACCGTTAAGGTTTGTCGGAAATCACCACAAAATAAAACTGTGATACCGCCCATGGGTCGATCATTTTGTCTTATATCTCTTAAAGTTCTGTCTACCGCTTCTACTCCTTTTCGATGGGCCATCGTACATTCATCCTATATGATTAAATTACACTTTGAACGAATATTTAAACACTACCAAAACTACTAATACGTGGTCCTAACTTTAGCTACCTTACACATAAAATCTAAGCGACTATTTGAACTAAAATATTCTTATAGAAATATAACCAGAAATATATACCTACAACTCACAACAAAAAAGAAATGAAAATAAAGCTGAAACGCCTGTGCAATACTATCTACCTATACCTCCTTCACTTAAAAATAAATACTTATAACTACTTTAATTAATAAAAGTACCTACGCTTAATAATTTTTAATTTGAACGAATATTTAAACACTACCAAAACAACTAATACCTGTTTTACAAAATAACAACAAAAGAAATTCAAACAAACTATTTAAAGACTAAAAGTCGCGCTGATAAGCACGGTTTCGGTCTCCCAGGCGGGGGAGCAGATGAGAAATCCTCATGGATACCCTACAGCCGGCTGCAAGGTTATGTCAGACTCGTACTGACTAAAAAACACCCGTAGGGGCTGCCTCTGGCCGGGAAGGCCTCTAAGGCTTCATCGGAAGCGATCGTCCCCCAGGGGGGGAGCGACGCAGAAAACAGATTTAGACAGCTCGCTCTCGGACCTTTGATACCCTACCGCTGCCGCGACCCGTGTCGAGCGCGGCAACCGTTACACAAAAATAATCCTTATAGCATGATTCAGTATTCACGTGCGACGGCGCGATGGCTTATTTCATGTATAAGTTTGGTGTTTCTATACCGAGTATTATAAACGTAAGAGTAAACAAATATGATCAGAATGCTCCGAACTGCTAAGCTATCGGGAGTTACACGTGTTATTGTGAGTCAACCATAAAAGATAGACATATGCTGTTGCGGGATATTTTTTAGACAATTTTATGTAGAATATTTCCGTCATACATGATTTCTATGTAACTTTAATCATTAAGGCTGCACACGCGACGGAAGCTTAAAAAATGGAGTAACTTCTCCCGTTTTCCCAACATTTCCCTTCACTACTCTGCTCCTACTGATTGTAGCGTGATGAAAAGTATACTATAACCTGCCCAGGAGTATGAAGAATAATTGTACCAAGTTTCGTTAAAATCCGTCGAGTAGTTTTTGTTTCTATAAGGAACGTACACACAGACAGACAAAAAATTTACTGATTGCATTTTTGGCATCAGTATCGATCACTAATCACCCCCTGATAGTTATTTTAAAAATATATTTCATGTACAGAATTGACATCTCTACAGATTTATTATAAGTATATGACCCCAAAATTTATCCAGGAACGTGACCATATTATTCCCAGATAAAATTGAGAAGTTTATTACGGGCAGTTGCTGAAAATCAGCATTTTACCTATTAAAGAGCAGGCCACACCGCCAGCTGACGGACGGAGCGGGGGCGGGCGAGCGAAGCTAGCGAAGCAGGCGAAACGAGGTGAATGAAGCTTCGCTGGACGGATATTTCGTTAGCTTCGCTCACGTCGCTCGCATCGCTGACGTAGCTGAGCTGGTTAGTTTGCGATGTGAACCCAAGAATGAAAAGAGGTAAAACGATGTCGTCCGCTTCGCCCGCCAGCTGGCGGTGTGGCCTGCGCTTGAGGCAAAAACACTGCTAAGCTTCTATTTGCATCACTGTCACTAATGACTGTAGTTCAGATTGGATATTTACGAATTGTTAAACTTATAATCATCTATGTCTGCAGTGATAAAATGTATTAATAATTGAGTCGTATTCGCTATGTGCGAAGTACATGGTGGGGGTATTGTGAAACGATCGCAGCGCTTATCGTGGCAGAAATACGCAACAATCCGGGAAAGTAAAGTCAATTTGCACGGAGTTCGTAATAAATAAATTTTTTAAAAAGCCTAATAATAGATGTTGTTGTGTTGTGAACTGCAAAAATAACGGCAATTGCATCACCAATTAATACAATTGAGTCGTATAGTATCAAAGGCGGCAAAGTAGGCGAACCAAATATTTGGCAAATCAAAAAAAAACTGTTTAGTTTCGTCTTTAAGGGAGGATAAAATATTGACATTTCACTACGATTTGTAGTTATGATGAATGTCAATTATAAAAATCCTCCCTTAAAGACGAGACTAAACAGTTTTTTTTGATTTGCCAAATATTTGGTTCGCCCTATTTTGCCGCCTTTGATACTATACGACTCAATTGTATTAATTGGTGATGCAAATAAATGCATTAAGTAATTTCTAGAAACAAATCCATAAAGTAGGACATAAAAATAAAACACTAGCAACTTTCTATACTTTTATTTCCATTGAAACAACATTATCCTATAATTCACTTTCAACCACTGAATTTACACTATAGTTTCGGAGTGAACGACGAGGACAGCAATTTTGGAATGTAACACAAGTTACGGACAGTGGGTATTTATTTATTTACATATTCATAAATATTTGTCACTTCACATCTGATCTACAAGCGAGTATCACATTATATATATGTAGTAATAATTAATTTTTCGATTTGATTTCTGAACACATCTCAACAATTTGTGCACAAACAAACATGACACATTATAAATATGCATTTAAAAAATAACGTGTCCGAAGCACCGAGAACAAAAACAAAACGGCATATCTATTTAAAAAATATATAATTTCATTTTAATAATTTACTTGTTTGAGGCCTATTTTCGTTCAGAAAAATTATATACACAAGAATTAATGGTTGCTTACAGGCGTAATACATTATATTTTGCGATTCTCATGTTATTGCATTGATCGTAATACAGATAATACACATTAAACTATTTTAACAACTTACTATTATAATAAACAAACTTTTATTTTACAAGTTAGCATGACGAAAAGTTCCAACTTCGATATTGACATGGTTATTACGTGATTTTGGAACATCGGGCCTTATTGTAATGCCGCGCGCTGACAATTTCGCTGAGCCACTGTGTTCTAAATACACTTAGTTTTGAGCCGCATCTCTGAGTATATAACCATTGGCTTTTTATTTATTAACACAACAACCTTGAAACTGCGTCGTTATACTTTCAATAGCTGCGAAATTACTTTGCATCCATTCTTCTACACAGCTAAAAGCCCAGAATAAGCTATAAAGAGCTTTCCAAAATCTAAATAGGTTTGTAGATACAATACTAATTGAATTATTATTAATTCTATTATTTCCATTAATAACACTAAAATTGGATTTTTTGTTAGATAAATATGATATTATTATAGCTATTAACGGGATTGTTACCATGTGCCTTGTTTTTTATGAGTCTCCGATATTTCGGCACTGTTGCAAGCGCCATAATCACGGAGCAACTGACATGATATCGGAGACTCATAAAAAGCAAGGTACGTGGTAACAATCCCGTTAATAGCTATAACGTTAGTGTCCATGAAAGTTTAAAAAAATATGATATTAGATTCCACAGTAGCCCGGCTATTAGACAGTCAGCGTACGTAATTATAAAGTAGTTTAATGGCGCGAATCACGCGGGTAGAACTCGGCGAGGATGGAAGCGGGGATACGTTTGAGCATCTCCTTGGGGAAGATACGGAGCAGCTGCCAGCCGATGTCCAGCGACTCGAATACTGTGCGGTTCTCGTAGTTGCCCTGGTTTCATTAGAAAAATGATCATGAAGAGACGAAAAGAGTATTCTCTCTCTAGTTTGGCCTTTTTTTATTACGCAGGCAAAACCTCTGTTTACAGACACTGGTGTCGATTCTGGCGTGACAATCTAAACTTAAAACTAAATTTAACATCAGTCTCTCTTTTTCATTCTGTATAGAGAACGACAAGGATGCACTGTTGTCAAATTTAAGTTTAGCTTTAGAGAATCATGCCAGAATCAACATCATTGGCGCCCTAAAGGGGGACACCAACGAACGGGCATAATACCTGGAGCTCTATTTTTGAATCATTCGCCTGATTTATACTAATTTTGAATCGATATAATAAATTCCGTATTTTTGAATCGCTCGACGATTGATGGAGGCGAATGGTAGAATAATTGCCAAATTTATGCCAGATATTTTCAAGATATTTCTCAATCTTTTTAAAATACAGATAAGTTGACGATTTGTTGCGACGTTTTGATCTTTTCTAACAAAAAAGGCAGAATATATACGTTTATTTTTCACAGGGGCAATGACTGCTATTTTATCTTCTTCCGTGAAATTAATAAAAAATTATTTTTTATATTAGACCGGTAACGCTTTAGATGAACGATTCAATGATACGGAGAAAATCAGTATCCTGCGACTTGGAAGTCGAAAGTGCCTTAAGTCGCATTCGACGATACTATGTCAGGCGAGCGAATCAAAAATAGAGTTCCTATCCTCTCGCAAGTCTCGAAGTGTACGAAACGGAGAAGCCGTTAAGCAGTCCCCGCGGCTTACGAGCGCTTACGGCATACTATCAGCTAAAAAATCCTGCAAATACACTCTACGCTGTTAAGTGCGAAACCGCGAGATCCCCGTTGAGGGACTTCACCGCGTCTCCGCACTCAAAGGAGTTAGGCTTACGGGCCGTTCAAGTATTACGTAAGCACTATAGGGGGGCCGGGGGGTCTTTGCTTTGCTTATTTTGATGACTTGGGGGTGGGGGAGTGGGGGGGGGGGGAGATAGCGATTACGTCAGTATCATTGATTCCGGTGTCATGGACTGCAGACTGTTAATTGGAATTAATATGTATACCGAAAATTCGAAAGAAGTTTGTTTTGTTTGTAATAGTATCTAATAAGATTATAATATTTGTACCTTACTCTATGATGAATACTGTGTCATTACAGTTTGTTTAAATAAATATATTATGTGCATTAAAGTCCTCTATCCTAAGCCTATTTAAGGACTGCTGCTCATGAAGCTCATGAATTGATAAAAAAAAACAGAATAAATTAAAGGAAAAATGCATATAGGTACCAATGTTTAACTTTGCTTACTTTTGCTGACAAGGGGGAGGAGGGGGTAAATAAATGTAATAAAGCTGCTTACGTAATACTTGAACGGCCCCTTAGGCCAAAGATAAATTTTCATTAGACGAATCTTTCTTTTATTCATGCATACGCAAAAGACGGGGTTAAGTAAACGAAATTCTATTTAGTCCATCAATAAGATAATCGAAATATTATGAACACAATTTTCTACGTTTGTGGATCAACCAAAAAATTAAAAGATAAAACGCGTCGTTCTAAGTAAAAATTGACCCACCACAATACCAAGACGTGACATCTTGGGACATTTCAAATCAATGTTTCAACTGTAGGAAAGTATAAAAATTACGTGTCCAATAGTTTTTGATAATGTCATCTGTCATCCCTATTTGTGTACAATTGAAACCTGCTAATATTATAAATGTGAAAGTTTGTATGTTCGTTACTCAATCACGCAAAAATACTGAACGGATTTGGATGAAACTTGGTACGCATACAGTTAACAACCCTTTACATATAGATAGCTTTTAACTTTGAAAGAGACATTGAAATACAGGTAGTCCTCGACTTACGTCGTTTCAAGTTACGTCAAACAATGTTTTGACACTATTCATCAAGCATACGTCAATTGTTTCGATTTCCGGCATAGGAGAATTCACTTGTCGCGAAGTCAATGTCCGTGGGGCCGGCGTCCGTGGGGATGTCTCGACTTACGTCGATTCGATTTACGTCGCGTATTCCGAGAACCTAACATGCCGTAAGTACGAGGACTGCCTGTACTGTTCATCCCGGAAAAACGTAAGTTTCTGTGGGATTTTCGAAAAAAGAACTAAAGTTGACGCGGGCGAAATCGCGGTCGGCCGCTGGCAGCTCAATAATTACCTGTGTGATGAAGTTCTTCTCGAACTTGGTGAGGAACTCGAGGTAGAGCAGATCGTCGGGTGTCAGGGCTTCCTCACCGACGACAGCCTTCATGGCCTGCACGTCCTTACCGATGGCGTAGCAGGCGTACTAAAACAAACACATTGTGTTTTATAAATGTTGCTACTTCTGATAAATGCTGATTCCATTCTTCTCATCAGCTAAAATATGTCCTGAATGCTGGTGGGAAAAATAGTGGAGCTCTCAACAAGTCAATTTGAATAAAGTATTATCAAATATAAAAAAATAACTCCACGATCTGACAGTCCTTGTCCATTTTTTTTTGACATAATATTAATGAAGAACTTTTAACATTTTCTTTTTTGTAGGTCCAATTTTGCACAAAGAAGTTCACAGACGCGTGTCTCAAGCGGATGAAACTCGCGTTCGCAATGATCCCGACTGGTCTGAGATGTCGCGTCGGTGAGCAGTAGTTATGTGTATGTTGCTCGCTCGCACTTTGTGTTTAGATTACCTTCTGTATTATCTTTTTTTTCGTGGTTATAAGTTACAAAATAAAACCTATTATATTAATTAAAATTACAACTATAATTGCTATTTCTTCTTTCAAATGTTTAATACTTGTAAAGGTATTCATTTGACATTGTGGGTTACCTACGATGCGAGGAGATGGTGCTGCCTTGCAGCTTAAGGAAGGCTACAAAGAATTCGACATATATCGTATAATCGGTAGCATAATTGGTCAGCCCATTCGCCCGGATAGCGAAGGGTGCGGGTTCGAGTCCCGTCTGCTGCCTGGTCCGCGTGGAATTTTTTCTAGTGATATTTTCTTTAGATATTGAACAAACTCACCAGCTGGTTGGAAACATCAGAGTGGTCCTTGCGGGTCATTCCCTCACCGATGGCAGACTTCATGAGACGAGACAGGGAAGGCAGCACGTTTACAGGCGGGTAGATCTGTCTGTTGTGGAGCTGACGGTCTACGTAGATCTACGTGAGAAATGTACGTTAGAAGTAAGCACTGTAAGGCTTGCGTTATGGGATACTAGGGTAACGGATAGAATACATATACTGTACTTATACATATAAGCATGTTTATATAGAAATACATATCGCACCTCCGGTGCGCCACTGTCACTAATGCAAAAACATTTATTTTTCAAGATGAGCGTTTAAAACTTTAACATCCCAGAACATACAATATTTAAAGATTTTTACGTGATGAAAAGCTTATACAGCTTAGCTACTCATCTAAAAAAAATTAAAAAAAAACTTTAATTATTGTATGTTTTGGGATGTTAAAGTTTTAAACGCTTCTCCTGAAAAAATGTTTTTTTTGCATAAGTGACAGTGTCGCACCGGGGGTGCGATATCAAACATTTATGACTGAAGTGCAAATGCTCGTATTCATCACACAAACATCTGCCCCCACCGGGATTCAAACCCTCTCGAGTCGGCGACACCATGAAACCCGGCGTACAAACCACTTGGCCACGGAATTCGTCGTCGTCAGAAGATTCAGTAGTTTATCTTTTTGTTTTGCATAAGAAAAAGAGGAATAAATTACCCCACCCCACCTGATGTTAATAATCCCAATGGCTTATGTGGCCACTCGCCATGCAAAGTTCTCGCCCAATAGCGAGTTTATACCTGAACTGTTTTGTAATGGTTAACTTGGCCGCAAGTTTTTAAAGTTTGCTGGCTAAATAGATGTCTTAATTACTGGGCCTTCTTATGGCATTATTCTCTAAACTTGAAAGTTAATTGGACAATTTCTTCAGATCATAACAAAGGTTATACTGCACGAAAGTATCATCAGTGATGTAAGCCCGTTAAATTGAGAATGGGACGACTAGATGTCGTAGTAGGTATTTTAGTTATTTATAGATACAACAATATACAAGACATTCATAATAAAGAAATTATGATTTTTACTGTTTACATATGTTTGCCAATTATAGATATTGACAATTCGGTTTGCAAACTATTCGAATTCGATAATGGTTCGTGCTAGCGGGGTACTGAACGTGCTACGTTGTATGTTATTATTATCGTTGTATTTCCATAATGTATCACATTTTGCATATAAATAATGTTGAACATTTAGAATAGTTACCTGTAATTATTAAAATAATCGTTTTTATTGTTTACTGAACATTTTGGAAATGTGGACTTTACCAACTTTGATTGTATAACCCTAAATTTAAGCCAGAAACATATTAACGTGTCGTGTCGTGGCGCGCCAGAAGCACATCGGTTTCATACGTTTACTATGGTTAGAGACATATCCACGAATCGTGTCGTGTCGACGCTTTAACCTCTCTATCTCTCTCTAACCATAATAAATGTATGAAACCGATGCGCCACGTCACGCCACGACACGTTAATATGTTTCTGTCTTACTCACCTGTCCCTCAGTGATGTAGCCCGTTAAATCGGGAATAGGATGGGTGATGTCGTCGTTGGGCATAGTCAAGATGGGGATCTGCGTGATGGATCCGTTTCTACCCTCTACACGCCCGGCTCTCTCGTAGATGGTGGCCAAATCGGTGTACATGTAACCTAGTGTTTAATATTATATTGTAATTACAATTTTCACTACATTATTAATATTATACATTATTTAGAGCTGGCAGCTACCTCGGACAAAGAATTAAGTCTAGCTATTCATAGGGGGAACGCTGCCAGTATCTTTGGAAACTTGCCTAAAGGGACTCGCTTTAATAATGTATTTTAGTTATTATATATATAAATTTTAAGGTTTTTAGTTATAAATATCTTACGATTTGTTCTTTAGTTAAATGTACATATTGTGAATAAAATAAAATGTCCCCATTTTCACTTGGTAAACAGTAAGGCCCGCTTGCAGCAAATTTGACAATACTCGATTCAACTAAATCTAGATATAGCCCCATAGAAATATGTCAAACGTCAATGTCAATTTGACATTATTGTATAGGTTAAAAATTAGTTTTAGTTTAATTGAGAATAAGCAAAATTGCTGCAAATGGACCCGAGAAACAAAGATGAATAAGAAGAGAATATAAATGTTTTAAAAAAATCATTGACTTTTCAAACAGCTTGAAATATTTAGATTAGCTTTTAAATGTTACTTTCCTCTTCCTTATCTTCTAATACAAAACACAAAAAGAACAGCAAAAGAGAAAGAAGTTTCTCAAAATAAAAAATGTTTTTCACTTCAGTACCAAAATAAAAGATACATCAATATTAAATAATAAATAAATAAGCTATTTTTTATGGCTTTTCGTATAGTGTAATGTGATTGGCCACAGTCGGGCATCGAACCTGGGAAACCACGTCGTCCGGGCACCTCCTCACGGGCGGCGGACACTTCACGCAGAGCCTCCGCGTACGAAGACATGTCAGTCAAGATTACCAGCACGTGTTTCTGGTTACAAACAGACACACACATAAATATTTGACACCTGCAGCTGTTTTTTGTTGTTGTTAATTTTACTTGTACGTTTTGTTTTACTTTATGTTATATGTATTTTTGTATTTTATGTGAATGTTATGTGCTGTCAGAAATAAAATCATTTTTCTTTCTTATTAAGGCGCTTCGAGCTAATATAGCCACGAGTATCAGCAGTGAGCTTATAATATGAACAGTAATTAATTAATCATTTGAGAAGTGTGTTTGAAGTTGGCTACAAGTTAGAGAGACTGCAGTTGTGCCGCAATAGGGGTGATGACAGGGTACAGTAAACGAAATTCAATTTAGTCCGTCAGTTCGATGATCAAAAAATAATGGACACGTATTTTTTCTTTGGGCAATCAACCAAAGAATGACAAAGATATAGCGCGTCAAAGTTTGGAAGTAGGGGCTCGTGACGTCACTTTTGAGTAAATTTTCCCTTATAAGTGTACTTAAACGTGACGTCATGCGACTTTTCAAATCAATATATCTCTGCAATGTTTATATTATGTGAAAAAAGAAAAAATACGTGTCCATTACTTTTTGATAATCTACCTGATAAACGAAGAAAAAAAATTAGTCATCATCCCTATTCCATTTGGTCGTTAGCATGTATTCGGGTACCCGAAAGACATTACTCGAATTCAGGCATACGAAGCAATATTCACACTGGAATACGGGCTGCAAGACGGTGCCGGGTAAACAAAAGGAAATCTACCCGAATACGAACGTATTCGACTCCGCTCATTTACACATAGTCGTTTACCCGAATTCCATTGGCACTATTCGGGCTAGCGACCAAATGTAATCGCGCCATAATATGATTTTGGCAAGGGTATAATAGCTGAGTTCGTTATTTGCATCTGTTCAATCTTTTTAGTCTGCATCATTCGTTTGGAGTTAGGGGAGTTAAATCTGTTTGATAAATCCGCTCAGTTCAGTCCGATGTAAATCTGTTTGCTCGGAGTATTTTGACCGACGAGAAAGATTATTCTGGTTATCTGTCACGTTGTGAGGTTAGTTTCTGTTTGAAGAATATACGGTTGGGCCATTCGTAAGTTACATTTTGCTCAGATTAATCCGTGATCAGGCGACCAAAAATGCGTCTACTCTGCGATGCAAATACCGAACGTAGCTAACACATAATAGTGCTAGTTGCGAGTGTATGTAGGTGTGTGTACACAAGAGGGCAAACCCATAGAAGTTAGACGAATTTACTACATCACAGAATTTATAAGGATGTCTGTTTCTAAATGAGTTTAATTTTGTGGGTAATTTTAGTAACAATTCACTCAGATTAATCCGTGATTAGGTGACCAAAAATGCGTCTACTCTGCGATGCAAATACCGAATGTAGCTAATACAAATAGTGCTAGTGCGAATGTATGTAGAGGTGTGTGTGTGCGTGTGTACACAAGAGGGCAAACCCATAGAAGATAGAAGAGTTTATTAAATTACAGAATTTATAAGGCTTTCCGTTTCTAAGTTTAATTTTATGGGTAATTGGTGAGCTCACCTCACACTGGTAGGCCAAGAACTCAGCAGCAGTCAAGGCCAAACGTGGTGTGATGATTCTCTCAATAGTGGGATCGTTGGCCAGATTCAAGAACAGGCACACGTTCTCCATGGAGCCGTTCTCCTCGAAGTCCTGCTTGAAGAACCGGGCCGTCTCCATGTTCACACCCATGGCGGCGAACACGATGGCAAAGTTGTCCTCGTGGTCGTCCAGCACAGATTTGCCGGGGATCTTGGGGAGAGAATAGAGATTTCACGATGCTACTTTACATCTTAATATAAAATAAAGTTGTATTCCCAGTCTGACTGCTAAATCTTGCATACTATAACATGATATTCAATGCCCTATCGTAAAGTTCCACCAATACTTAAGAAAAATTAAATAGAAAGAGAAACTGAAAAACAAATTGGGCATTGGATCACTGGAACACAAGGAAATGATGACTTTGAAATTGAATATAACCTTAACTTTAAATACAGGATCAAATGCTTTATTAATTATGAGACAGAGGCACAATCAGCATCGTCTACAAACGCCTGCCATACCAAATGCATTGCTGGCTTCAAGACTCACCTTTACAAGACCGGCTTGCCTACAGATCTGGGCGGCAATTTCGTTGTGTGGCAGACCGGCAGCCGAGAAAATGGGGATCTTTTGCCCGCGAGCAATGGAGTTCATCACGTCGATAGCGGAGATACCTGTGAGAAGCCATCGGGTTTGAGATGGGCCAAAGGCCGTATTGGCGCTGCATTATACATGCCGTTTTGGTACAGTCCGGTGAGGAAAGAATGAAAACGGACACACCGCGAAACACATGCCGTTTTCTTTATTATTTCATACTTATTATTAATTTCTACCGATAGCTTACAGCTTAGCGGTACTTTACGGGTGAAGGCAGAATTGAACGATATGCAGTGTGTGCGTGCGTGTGTAGTGTTAAATGAGTTTTGTTGATAATATGCGCCTTCCATTGCTGGACCGGGCCAAAACGGCATGTATAATGCCGGAATTAAAATACTAAGTTTTTTTAGGTAACAACACCAAATGATAGATTTTCTCTGTTCATGCAATGTGACCTGTGACAAATAAACTGTTGTACTAAGAATTTCAGTACATATTTAAATCACACAAGTTTAGTGCTTCAAGGAAAAAAAAAGTATTCTACAATAAAATTGAGTTTATTTAAATTAATAATTACAAACCTAGTCTAAAATGTACATACCAGTCTGGATCATTTCCTCAGGGTAGATACGGGACCAGGGGTTGATGGGCTGTCCCTGGATGTCCAAAAAGTCTTCAGCAAGGATTGGGGGACCTTTGTCAATGGGTTTTCCAGAGCCGTTGAATACGCGACCTACATAAATAAAGTTCAGTGTCTTTACTGGATATTTTATCAATATTACATGCATAGTGCTAAATTAAACATTGCTTGAAACTGATAATTTGACCACTTTAAGAGACTCCAAAGACAAGCTGGTATTTTCATGAAGTTACTTTTAGTTATATGTAATATCTATATTATATATTACATCGGCAGGATACCGCCCAAAGATATAAGCGTCATGCTCGTGAACGGAATGTAACGAAAGGAAATATGTCTGACGATTTATAACTGAGCAGCCAAAGAAGTTAGTAGCCAGCTGAAAAATCATTGCCAGATCTTGGTAATAGGAATTCTATATTATGGAAGCATGTTTTCGAGGCAAGGCATTAATCCCAAAGTACGTGACCGGCGCGCCCAACAGAAAGCCTGCTCAGAACAAAGCGTCATTTCTGTCACACACACTTTGACTACGTATACAAGCATTATCGTGCAGTTTCAAGCAGAATTTATTCTCGATAGTCGCATGTTAATATAAATATTATCGAGGATGGCTGGTGCACTTCTTCTTGCTTCTTTCTATTTTTTGATCTTACCCAACATGTCTTCGGAGACAGGGGTGCGGAGAATGTCACCGGTGAACTCGCAGAGGGTGTTTTTGGCGTCGATGCCCGATGTGCCCTCGAACACTTGGACGACGGCTTTGGAGCCGCTGACTTCCAGTACCTAAGGAGAAGAAGAATTAAATGGCATAAGTCATTTATTTTTGCAAAATAGCTTAGGAAAAAGCGCTTCTACACGTCTCAGTATTAGTTTATAACTACCAGTGCTCCGGGACAATAATTGGGCCAGTGCTGAGAAGAAGCAGCGAAAGAAACTCAGTCACCTTTGTCAGCCTCTTTTTCAAGAGTTCACAATACACTACAATTATAAATATTGATGCCAGATAGGCAGTTATAACATTCCATAAAAATAATCTTTTATATTTATCTTCGACTTTATAGTAGACCTTTTTCATTAAGGTACTTTTCAAATGGGCTTTTAATTTATGAATAGGCAACAACTGAATAGTTTGTGGCAATTTATTGAAAAATATAATGCACAGTCGCATAAATGAAAATGCTTCATCATCATCATCATCTCAGCCGTACGACGCCCACTGCTGGGCATAGGCCTCCCCAAAAAATGCTTATGCAGTCTGAAATGTGGAACGACAAGTTTATTTTTGTTAATTTGAAATAGGAAGATGACTACCTTTTTATTTTTAGTCAATCAGGTAGATTATAAAAAAAAATGGACACATTTTTTCAAAAAGGACATGGGGCAAAAATGTATGCCACGGCTTAAATTACATTTGTTTGAAAGGTATTATAGTGAAGATCATCTGTGCCAAAGGGCATCAAATTCCATCCCGGGGGTCTTTAGTTATTTTAAGTTAAATAGGTACAGGTACTATATCGAACGAATATTAATAAAACAAGGGAATTAATTTAGTTAGTTAGTTCGACCCTACATAGGGGGCTCAGGAATTAGTTCTTCACAAGGTGCAAGGTTGCCCACTTTTATTATTCTGCCGCGCTAGAATAAATCCAAAAATCCCCGCATGGGTTGGGGTTTTTTCAAACATTCTGTTCGTTATAGTAAATTAGGTACAATTTTTACTAGAAGTGACGTCACGAGTCTCCACTCACGCTCTATATCAATGTCACAATTTTAGAGTAATTGACGAAATAACAAATGTATCCATTACTTTCTCCAAAATCTTCCTGACGGTCTTAATCGAGTTTTGTTTATTTTATCCCCCATCACACCTATTGAATACAGTGTAAACTGGATTTTTAGAGTGTAGTTATCAGATTTCCGGATTCGACCTTAATCAAGCTTTTTGCCATCCACAAAAAATCTCATAAAAATTATAGCAACCAAATAGGTCAACAACTGGGGATAATATCTAAGTCTGTTTATCTTCCCTTACAGATTTTTCTTGTTTTGTAGTAGATTCACAGTTGATTGAGAGATTTAAGACATTTGATGGTGATTTTCATATTTGCTTTTATTATGTAGATTTGAAAGAAACAAATCTGGATATTTTAAATGTTTAGATTGCTTAGGGCAACAATTAGTCCTGTTAAGTGAATCTACAAGGTTATATATTTTGAATTTAATTCAAAATTCAAAGCATTACTGATTTCTATTCTGGATCCAGCTTGAAGGACCACTAATTGTAGGCGGTGAAATAAGAAAACGCACTCTTTGTCATCGAATATAGTAAAAACATTAAAACTATGAAAAACTATAATAACCAGATGCTAAAAATTGGAATGCTAACATTTTTTTTATATATATATTCAAAGTCAACTAGAATTAAATATCTATGGGGTAGTCAAAAATGGTCTCCTTTAATTTTTTTTTTGGAGGTAATATTAATTTTGAAAGTAATATATCTAACACTGAAATCTGATATATTTTAAGTGGGTAATTAATTTATGATCTTCTGAGATATTTTTTAGGAAATATATGTAAAGCTCACGTTGAAAAGTTACCATTGAATTGTACTTTAGACATTGAATTATTATGATGGGCCTCTGCAATTGGTAATATATTGGCTGTTTTTTATCTCTACCTCAAAATATCGCTAGCTAACCAAACTTCAATAACAATTTTTATTAACCTATTAAAAAAATATCAATAAAACTTATCATCACAAAATTCAAATCGTTTTTTAAGTTTAGGCACCTATTTATGTTGAAAGCTACGCCATCAGGGGCTGTATTTGTTTTATATACTGAGACGCTAAGTTGAAAAATGACTTCAATACCTATCATATAATTCGCGAAGTCGCCTTCCGCACTTTATTACTTGATTTGAAACATAAAATTAATAATAAAAACAAATTTGAACACACATTGAGAATATCGTGCAGACAATCTGCAATTAAAGTTAATTACAATAATAAACAGTAAAGTAGTACAGAGCACATTTATCTCGCATGGCAGCACCGGTTTACAAGCTTTAGCAGTAGAAAACGCTACGCAACACTGCAGAGGTCTCAAAAAGATACATCACGATTAATACTACCAATCTATATATTACCTATAATTCAAATCATTTTACAAAAATAAAGAAATAGAGCAATTACGATCACGCCTTTTTGTCATTTAAATATTATTAGATTATCAGCCTGTTGTATAAATTTAAATTATGATTGAATATACTTTGCAACTCCTGCAGGCACCTACATCCTAGGTCACTAAACTTATAATTTAATAAAAAAACATTTAATATATTCCAGTAAAATTTTCTCAAATCAAAATATCTAAAGTATAGTTTTTTGTTTGATTTTGTTCAAGTCGCGTCATTTTTCTTTTGTTTGAAGAAATTCCATTTTTTGTGTAGTCTGTATCACTTTTCACGGGTTGATGTGAAGACCATATAAATAGGTTATTGGGAGTAGTGTAAGAAAAAAGGAAAGACACTATAGAAAAGCTGGAAAGCTGTTGTTTTTAATTAAGTACCTATTTTAAATAAAATCTAAGACAAAGTGATTTTTAGCACACATTCGAACGTTTGTATCGGTTATCTAAAATAAAAAGACAATTGTATCACAGGGAAAGAAATAAAACAATTTGGTATTATTCAGTGATTTTTATTAAAAAACAACTTGATTTAAATTATGATTCAAATCAAGTGGATAAATGGTGCAACTCAACTCACCTGGCCAGACCGGAGGGTTCCATCTGCAAGTTTCAACTGCACAATCTCTGAGAACTTGGGGAACTTCACCTCATCAAGGATGACCAAAGGCCCGTTGACACCAGATACTGTCTTGTAAGCTATTAAAAAACAATATGGAAATACCTGATTAACCATAAAACAGATTAAGTTGATTCTAAGGTAAATATTGATTGTTATACAAATGATACAGGAATAAGTAACAGAATTGAATTAGTAACTACAATCAGCACTCTCCAAGGTCACTAAAACTCTGAACTCTAGACAGTCAAGCATAATGATGTTTAAAACTTTTAACTACAAAATAATGATCCCTGAACACCGAAAATATAAGACAGAATAACGAATCAGAAAGAACTACAGATGTTCAATTGTGTAGAGAAAGCGAGTTCATGGATGAAGTCATAAGACTTCACCATAAGGTCATAGCAGGCATATCAACTCGGAAAGAGATCATCACTATATCAACTCAAGCCACTTAGTATCTTTTGTATTAATCTCTCCCATGCAACTCACACTAATAGGAATCGTAACATAATCGCCTCGCCTCGGATAAGCACCCAAACGTGCATGGTTAACTCTCCATATATTAGCTTTAGTCTCTCCGTAGTGTAGCTTATGTCTAACCGTAGTCTAGCTTACATTACTCCATACTCTTGCTTAAGAACGTAAGATACATTGCCAAATGTCTATCCCTAGAGAAAGTAACCATGTTGTTAAGTGGTTATGGAGTGCAGACTCTTAAAACAGAGTGGGTGCTTTCTATCTTATGACTGATCAAACTGGTGCAGCCTAGCCGTCAACCAATGGTCGGTGAGCTGTTAGGGCAGCATTGCCTAATCGAAGCTAATCGGAACCGATACTGGAGCTGCTTTTCAGCTTACATTAGGTGAATGTCTGTTGAAAGCAGGCCTAAAGGGAAGTTCATATGAATCCCTTTCCGAGTTGATATGTGTGCTATGACAGACTCCTAAATAGTACAAGCACTAATTGGAATAATTTTGGAAAAACAGCTAGAGCCTTTTCCTCTTTTTGCTGAGTTTCCATAGAAGGAGCATGCATAATTTATTATGTAACCCATTTCAGCTATTATTGATGTTTTTAACATTTAGTTTTTCAAGCAACACAACATTGATTCGATCTGAAATTACATATCACTTTTTATTCTAGTTTTCACAAGGCATGGCAGGCAGATATAATTTTAAAGAAAGGTAAAGAACCAGATGAATGCTGTCCAAGTTAGATTTTTTTCTAGTTATTTTAGATAATGCAAGTGATTCTTTGTAATCCATAATTTTAATATAAATCAACTTTGATTACAATATCCCTGCTAATGCTCATGCATTTGACTTTTAAAGTTAATATTGCCCAGTATAGATAAAATATACCTATCAAAGATCTATTAGATTTTCCAATCACATGACATGAAAACAGCTGATGTTTCTTGACATCTCATAGTAAAAGGAAAGGAAATTAAATGCAAATTGATTCATTAATCTCTTTTAACTTGTGAAACATACTTTTATGCATATAAAAGGACCTTTTAAGAATACAATTACATATTTAGGGATTTTAACTCTTTTATGACACTGAAACTTAGTAATTTCTTAGAAAACAAGTATAATTGCTGTAAAGATGAAAGTACTATCCGTAACTCAAAGACTGAAAAGATAATGACTGGTACCTACCTACCTACATATAACTAGGTACTTAGATGAGAATAGAAAGCCCAAAGAAAAAAATAGGGCTCCAAATGCGACTATTGCTAAATGTTAACGCAAATGAATAGAATATAAGGACACAGAACAATACATTATTACTTTTTAAACAAAAAGAACACTAACACAAATAGGCGTAGTAATGAACAAAATCGATTTCCAGTGACAAAATTATGACGTTACATTCTGGATAGTAAATTGTTTTACTTACTCAGACGGGGCTGAGATATGAAGTCCCGGGATACGGCCAACACATGTTCTTTGTTGGCCTGGGTTGCTGAAAGGGTCTTGGCCATTTTTCAGTTTTCACTTGTGAGCAGCCCGTTCAATAAAATACTAAACTGCCTGCGCTGCCTCCTCGCCCGAAAACTGACGAATGGAGAAAAATTGTCTATGACCCCTTCACGTGCTGTCACGTGATTTATCACAAGGAAAATGTTGCCATCATAAAAATTTAAAAGCAATATTCCATAGCCTTCAGTTGCATCAATAGTGTCGATTCTGGCATGTTTCTCTAAAGCTAAACTTAAATTTGACAACAGTGTATCCTTGTTATTCTTTACACAGAATGAAAAGGACAGACTGTTGTTAAATTAAGTTTCAAGTTTAGAGAATCCTGCCAGAATTGACACCTATGTTGCATTTAGAATGCTTCGGCTACACCATGGCGGCACCCCAGCCATGACACAGCCGCAACTGCTTACATCGTTCCGAAGCTTCGAACGTTTTGCCACTAAACAGTTAAAAAAGTATGGTGATACAGCTTGTGGTCACATTATCAGCAGCTTTTATATTTTATACGATCTATCGCTCAGCGATAAACCAGAATGGTCGTAATCATTTTCAGAAAGATATTTTATGCGACATGTATTGCGCATGCATCTGAACTATAATATCCAGCTACATCCTTTATCTATGGGCTCAACCACTTATGAACAAAGCTAATCTGACTACGCAACAGGTTAAGTACCACCTCCCGAGTAATAACGCAACCGCAGCCCGTATATTCCGAATAAAGACGAAACTTCATGGCGATACACGCAAATACTCCAAGAGTAAAAGAGATAGATATACATATCTGTTACTGACATGAATCTCTTAACCTAAACGTAAATTTGACAACAGTATATCCCTGTCATTCTCTGTACAGAATGAAAAGGAATAGGTAATGACATGCCAGAAATGACACCGATATTTTCTATTCTACCATGTAACGTTGTACGTGAATAAGTCATAATATCCATAAGTTATAAAATTTAAACTAAATATTTTACAATTTTTACCATAAACTAAGTCAAAGGCGAAATCTTAATTTTATAACTTATTCAAAGATAATAAAAAATAGTAAGGAATTCAAATACACTCCAGCTTCGCAACCGCGCGCATGAAACGAAATGCGAAAGCGCGTTGATAACGGAATAGGAGGCGGGCTAAACATAAAATAAACCCGTTGAACAGCCGGTCCGCGTCAGAAGCTTTGAGTCACAGTCAAGCAATCTTTGAGTACACCCGTGTTCGTATTTACTTACTCCAATACGCTGCGAGATAGTAAGGTAATAATTCTACATTAAGTCCAGCTGGGGTGCTAAGCCTACCGTTCCGCAAGCGAAGACCAACTCCTGCCGGAGAATTTTCATCTGGGAAACAGCTGCACCACTTTAAACTAACGGACATTCGTCGGCTGTACCTGCCGATATTCCCCGCTGCCGCTTGGAACTACGAAGAAGCTAGACTTTCGACCTATCTGGAGACGAATGCTCTCAGGCCAGTAACCCTTTATTTCCGCCCTTGCTCAGCAAGTGACGGCCACAGAATTGTATTTAGGCAATATAAGGATTACTTTCTACTGAAACAATATTTTATTTCCAGACCCACTACGTACGTACCCTACCGTCCGCAACCATACTGTTAAAACGAGGAGAGTGAAGGGTATAAATGGAGGTTTGTTATCTCTTTTTAATAGAATAACCATAAAGCCGTAAGTTTTATATTAATCTGACACTTCTGACGCTAAAATCTGACGCTCTACATGTCGGCATATACGTAAAATAAATAAATAGAGTTTTGTATTCAATTGAAAATTAAATAATAAAATAAAAATAAAATATGTTTTTAAATGAAGCTTTCATAAATCAGACATTCATAAGGGCTACGGAACCCTTCATAAAATGTTTATGGGCTAGGCAGGCACTAAATAAATAATCAGCAACAGCCGTCACCATTTCGACGTTCATGTTGGACGGATGGTCATTAACAAGATAACAAGTGTGTAAACGCCTTAGACCACTTACATACGCACCATAGGCCGTATACAGAAAGAAAGCCGAAAGCCGATCGGCGCCGATCGGCGCTTACTCTGGCTGCGGCCAGAGTGCACTCAGATTCAGATTCTGAAAACAAGCGCGAGAAATAAACAGTGTAGTCTAAGCAGGTTGCCTGCTTTTTCTCGAGCTTTGTTTTCTGAGTCTGAATCTGAATCTGAATCAGGAGTGCAATCTGGCCGTACCCTTCGACTACACTGTTTATTTCTCGCGCTTGTTTTCGTAATCTGAATCTGAGTGCACTCTGGCCGCACCCTTAACGTTCAGATTCAGATTCCGAAAACAAGCGCAAGAAATAAACAGTGTAGTCTAAGCAGGTTGCCTGCTTTTTCTCGCGCTTTGTTTTCTGAGTCTGAATCTGAATCAGGAGTGCACTCTGGCCGTACCCTTCGACTACACTGTTTATTTCTCGCGCTTGTTTTCGGAATCTGAATCTGAATCTGAGTGCACTCTGGCCGTACCCTAAGGGTCTTTCGCTCAATTAAGTGGCCATGTTAAAATGCATTATGTTTCATAGCAGACGTCAGGTAAAACTAGAAAGTATCCATAAGACTGAAGGAGGAGGAAGATTGTGAAGCAAGCTTTTCTGCTGAAGTATAACTAGTCGTCGTCGTCGTCTGATGCATTGTACAGTGGTATGATGCATCAGCGCATCAGGTAGTTACCTATACACACATTAACCCGACTTACTAGAAATACCGAAGAGCCAGAAGCTTGTGCCATTACAGTAAATTATTTTCAGCGTTACATAGGTTTTTTTTTAAAGTACGGTCAACGAAATAATGCAATCTTGACAGGTCGTGTCTGTTCCATAAATTATCTAAAAGTAAGCACTGGTGTCCATTTTGGCATGATTCCTTAACTAAAACTTAAAACTAAATTTATCTTCAGTACCACCTTTTCATTATGTAAGGAGAACAAGGATACACTGTTATTAGTCAAAATTAGGTTTACGTTTAGATAATCACACCAGAGTCGACACCACTTTTGAACTAGTAAAAAAAAGATCCGAAAATAAACTAAATTTATAGGCATAAATGGGTTGGCCGCACTATAGAGTCTGGGGTAGGCTTGCTGAAAATATATCGATGTATCGATATATCGATATTTTTTGTTCGATATATCGATATTTTATGCTGATATATTTTGATTCGATATATCGATACATCGATACAAAATGACCAATATCGAAATTCGTATCAAAAACGATATTTTTTTTTTAATTATTAGCGGCATATCACGATCTAACTAAATTCGTATCTGGAAAAATCGTAACTGAAGCTCAGATTAATGATATTCAACATATCTATGATATGTGCTGTATTTAGTATTTTCTATGATTTGTAAATCTGTTTCGCTGGTGAATTGGTTGTGCTGAATTCCAGTATATTCTGTGGAAGTGTGTGACTGTCTAGTGTTGTTTACGAAAGATGCCACGTAAGGAGGCCCTGCAATAATTTTCATCATTCGAAAATAGGGTCTATTTTTAGGGAGATAATTTTCGTTCCATTATTATTCCGAGTGTCATCTTTTGTGAGATATTGTACTGTCATGTAGTGTAGCGGCAATATGGTACTTTGATAATTCTTTCTTTAATTATAATTTGTAATGATGTCGATTCTGGCATAATTCTCTAAAGCTAAACTTAAATTTGACAACAGTGCATCCCTGTCATTCTCTATACAGAATGAAAAGGAGAGACTGATGTTAAATTTAGTTTTAAGTTTAGAGAATCACGCCAGTATTGACACCATTGTTATTATTGCTGACCTAAATATATTTTTGGGAAAATTGGTCCGATATATCGATGTTTTTTTCGCGATATATCGAAGCTGATATTGATATTTTTTAAAATATCGATGTATCGATATATCGATATTTTTTTCAACTTTCGACATCCCTAGTCTTGGGTGCATTCCAAACTCTGATTCAAGCAACCCTAAGCACTGAGTGAATCATTAAAACCGTCTTCAAAAAAGGAATAGGCTCTGGGTTCGACTATATAAAGAAAGAAAGAAAGAACCATTTTTATTGACCATATGTTTTTCTTTTATGTATGTTCACCGATTCCGATGTGGTCCTATTTTAAACAAGTTAGGATCTGATGGTGAAATCCGGGGAAATCGAGGGAAACCTTCAAATTTCATAGGCACGCACGATGTTTTTTAAGCATGTACACCAATCGGAAAGAAATCCGATTCAATTGTGGACTGATTTCCTAAATTCTTTTTTTATTCGAAAGAGTGCACTTCCAAGGTTGTCTCATTGGAACCAACTCAAGACCTGATGGTGGAATTCTGCGAAATCGAAGGAAACTTTCTTAAAATATTATTACTTGGACGATGTAATTTTCACAATACTTTGTATATATAAAAAATGGAACTAAAAAGTAGAAAATAATAACTGGTTCATGATTTGGAAGTCGGGCGGAGTCAAGATTGAAACATTAAATAGATTTTCGTTTCTGATTGCTAATAATACGTCTTTCAATCTTGACCCGCCTGACTTTCAAATCATGAACCAGTTATTATTTTCTACTTTTTAGTTCCATTTTTGATTTTGAATTCGATTTTTTGTTAATTACCTTGACGTTTCATTTTGACATAAGCATAATGAATGACAAATTACACTTGTACCTGGAGCGTAGGTTTGGAATAGAGGATTTTATTTACTTTTTGTACGGCTGATATGATGATGATGACTTTTTATGCTCTTTAGTTTGGAACGCAGCGCAGTAGGGGTAAATATGTTTCATAGAGTTGGTAACATTGGCTGGCAGTTTTTTTGTATTGCCAACAGTGTTGCCAACTCTACGTCTTTTAACGTAGATCTACGTATTTTAGGCCTTTTCTGCAAACCTACTAACTTCAGTCCCAGAATCTACGTATTTTCTTTAATTTTTTCAAATTTGTAAAATAACTTAATTCACTAGAATAAAGAAGAATATTTTCCGTTACTTTACTTAAAAACTATAGAAATGATTATTTCTTATAAATATATATCTAAAAACTCCTGTATCTTGTAGAAAAGGTTCACGTTATTGGTTTTGTTGACTAAATTAATGCTGGACGCAGGATTTGTGAAAGCAGAAACGCCAAACTCTTTGACTTAGTAGGTACATTCATAACCTTAAAAAAAATATTTTTATACTTTAAATATTATTTAATGAGTACTTACATCGAATTGATCTTTGAAAAAAGAAATGATGACTTTCAGTCGATAAAGTTACAGGATTTAGCAAGTTTTAAACATGTGTTCATGTGTAAGTATGTTTATTTCTCTTGGCACACAATTTAAACCACAACTTTTCTAGAGTCTGTTACCAAGTGTATCATGATAACTACTATATTTTCATGTGATCTATTAGAAATCATGGTTTTATAATATTAAATCAGAAAGTTTATTTCCCTACGTGCTTGCGAGTGTTTGTTTACAAATGTTTTGACGTCATAGCATAGATAAGTCGATATATATACATATTATATATACATATTATATATATATATATATATATATATACATAGATAGACTAAATAGCGTTTTTGTATGTCTTCTAGGTAAAAAAAATACATTTTTTCGGTCTGATAGAACAATTATTAACAATTTAAAACATAATTCCAAAAAGTGTCAACTAGCCTATTTCACAACAGCGTAGAGAGACTGATGTTAAATTTAGAGAATCATGCCAGAATCGACACCCACCAGTGTCTGTGTCTGATGGTAAATGTCTACCACAGCATGGTAAATGCTTCCAATGCATCGACTTCTCCAAGAACTCTTTCTTCTATCTCCCGTTTTTAAAGAAATTGTATAACCAAATACTCGTTTTATTCGGTTTCACCTAACTTCTTCATTTCACTCAGAAAAAAGTACGTAGATCTACGTACTTTTCATGTGCAAAATTTACCAATTCTACGTAATTTTCTCATCGTGGCTACGCCTTTTTCAAAATCCGAGTGGGCAACACTGATTGCCAATAAATTAAAAAAAAACTAGTCTCTCAAAAACTGGCGCTCTAGTAGCTTGTGTTGCGGTTGTCGTAAATAAATACAATACATAGCACCCTGTAATAAAACCACATGCACTTGTGAAAAGACTCGTCTTGCATATTTTTTTCCTAAAAACCTTAATACGAGTAAAAATGCCCGTCGTTGGCAAGTTAATACCCCTTGCTACGGGTTGTCTTAGTAGAGCCCTGCCTGCATCTGCTGTAAAATCAAACCGGACCTACTTCACATACACTCAAGAACTATCTCAACCTTTGGACCGCAGTCCAGAATTTGTTACTGCTCAACAAGCGTTCGAAAAATGCTTAAAATCCGGTAAGTACACAATTTTTTCCTGTTACAGATGCATGCGTTTATATCGTCATCACCTTCATTATTTAAATAACACCGAATTCGTAAGAATACGACTCTTTTTTAACATTTTATTATTATTTTCAATTTGGCCCCGCACGACTGTTTCTCATCATCATCATATCATCATAGGTAGTTATTTATATAGTATATAGAAAGGTATACATACACAGAAGTGTATTGTATACATATTTTAAATACCTAGTTTGCGTAGCTAACTTAGACACATTAGCATGAATAATTTGTCACCACTCTATGCAATTGATAGGATAGATGCAATGTAAGCTGATTGCTTTGTCCTTCTTAAACCTTCATCCTTAACACAATTGATTTAGAGTTCATAATAGAAGTAGTTCCATTATGGTGTTCAAGGGCCCCTAAAGATATTACAATAAAGCTTAGTAGTTCAGTGGGCAATTTAGGTATAACCTATTTGATTGATCCCTACATAAATGCTATTGATTCCAATGAAATTATGATTTAAATTTTTAAATTTTTTATTTCATTTAGGTATTACAGTCGGTCTATGTATTTGTGTTGTATACTTCTAAAACTATAAATTTAATAATAAACGCTCATTAACTGTACAAGCTTCTCTACTTACATTTTATCTCACATTTAACAATATCACACACTTCACTTGGTTTTTCTGATTTGCTATTTATTATTGACTTGACAACAGTCTGTCCTTATTGTGCTTTAAAGGAATGAAAAAGATATACTCATATTAAGTTTACAAAAAGCAAATATGAACAGCTAAGTGAGATGCCCGCATAACGTTGCATAATATCAAATGTGTTTGGCATAGTGCCCAATTTCTAGCTCTGTAGAATGGGAAATACTTCAGCTGAATGCTATAATATCTATGTATATCTCTATCCAGGAATAGTATGTTATCTACAATGTATTTATATAATTAGCTTTTGCCCATGCCTTTGTTTTATTATTGATTTTATAAACCTACTCTGATTATTGGTCATATGGATCCATCAACAGTAGGAGATGTTATTTGAAAATGTTCCTTATTAAACATCAATTATATACTTTTCGTGTACTTGCTCAATACAATTATGGACAAAAACAAATTTAGCATTATTCATGGATGCTGTTATGTATTATGTTGTATTCTTTCTTATTATTGTAGTTCATGTAATATAAATAAAAGTCTTTATTGTTGTTTTCTTTCTTACATATTTTCTTTATGTATACATTTTTGTTTGTTTGAGGTTGTCTTGCTGTTCAGCATAGGCATCCTCTAATGACTTCCAAATTTTTATGTTTATCTCTGCATCTGATTCTCAGGTGCAATAATTTGTCCCAGATATATACTTGTCTTAATATTCAATGTCATTGTTGTCTACTTTTTTCATAACCTGGAGGTGCTTTGACATGATTTTAGTATTTGCAGTATTCATGGTCAGACAGACCTACCTCTGCACTTTCAATTGCAAATTGTTTGATAAATCTCTTGTATGTTTTTTGGCTTGTCTCTAATAATGATTAAATCATCGGCAAATCATAAATGATTTAACATCACACAAATACAGAAATACAAAATCAGGGAAAAAGCAATGTTTACTCCAGTTTTGAAATCTTAATATATATTCTTGAGTTGATGAAAAGAGTTTTTGGTGATAAAGGGTCTTCATGGCGCATACAGTTCATATATATTTTTCGTATAACTGGTGCTCTTCTTCCTCTTGCAATGGGCCTTTTCGCAACTCGACGTCCATACGGCGCCTGTTTTGCGTGAAAAGGAAGTGTTGCTGGGGTCACTCCAGCCAGCCCAGTTCCTCCAGGAATGACTCAAGGGCTTCACATTGGTGATTGCCTCTTGGGGGTTACCCGGTGATCTGAAGTATTTCGCGCGGTATTCGACCACTCGGTTCCCTTCCAGCAGAACGTGTGTAGCTGTTTCTTCTGTCTCTATGCATCCGCTGCATAGGCTGTCCGTGACACCTAAGTAAAAAAGATGTCTGTTAAAATGCTCATGTCCAGTAATAGCACCTGTTACCATATGTACGTAATGTGGGTCTACTTAGCAGTAGAAGTGTGCTGTTTAGGAGAGAGCAGCGTTCGTCCCTGGCAAAGCGAGATTGGTCTGTCTGCACCACGTCTCCAGAGAGAGCCAGTGTTGCTGGTGGAGTGCGGTTGTGCGCTTGCGGATTTAACTGACAAACCAGCTTGCCGGTATCAGAATGATTGGTCGGGATCTATTGGGGTCGTTTATGATCCTTGGCGCCACTTCATCCGCAGCATCTTTGCCGCATAATCCTCTGTGTCCCTTGATCCATTGGATAGTAATAGAAGTGTATGACCCACCCTTCCGTGTTTAAGGTTTAGTGACATCCTTGTAGAAGGCTTAATCTGACTTATGAGACATCTAGAGCTTGTAAAACTGATTTGTAGGACAGGATCATAAGTTCTTGTCCTTTTGCCTTTCTGGAGAGGATCGCTCTTGCCGCCAGTATGATGCCTATACACTCAGCTTGAAAAACTGTGGCTTAAGGGGAAAGCCATTAAGCGATAGTATATTGAGGTCCTCGGAGAACGAACCCGCGCTCCTGGCCGATGAGGTCTCTGAGCCGTCGGTGTAAATCATGAAAACCTTCGGATCATTGTCATCCAGTATGCTGTACTTTTTGTCAAAGATGAAGGCAGGTTTGATTTTCAAAATGGGTAAAATACCCATTTCTGTAGTATACCGTTGAGATGTCTAGCTCCTTCGAACCCTTCGATTAACAATCCTTTAAATAACGGATCAGCGCGTAAAATCCGTCTCGGTAAATATAGTGGAAGTCACTTGAGGCGTGAGATCTTATTTTAAATTAGTTCGGTTAATACAAAACGAAGTAACTCGCTGGCCAATGACTGGTAAAAATATTTTAAACAACTAGTGCTGCGGTTGGTGCCGTACTCATGCACCCAGTCACCGCCTTTGGCCGTCAGTATCTGCCGCTGGAAGTTTTGTAATTTACTGACGCAGGATGCCTGGGTAGATCTCGGCCACTTTATGTTGGAGTCATAGCTTACCATTGGTCATATGCCTGTATGGTATAACCACAGGAACAGTTTTTGTGCAAGTCCCCAACGCTTCCCTAACATTTGACGGCATTGCCTAAGTGTTACGCTGGCTGTCTTGATTTTGTGTTCAACATGGTTACTCCAGTTTAGTTTACTTTCAAGTGTATGGCCTAAATACTTTACCTCCTTTGACATGTTGTACTGTGGTACCAAACAGCTTCGACAAGTTGAAAACACCTTTCTTTGGTTGTAAACATTACTTTAGTCGAATTTACTGCGAGTTCATATTTCCTGCACCAGTTTCAAAGCACCTTGCATGATGTTACATACAGATAGTATAGGGTCTATGGTGTTGTGGTGGTTCGAGTTTAGTTTGGTCAGCAGGTCGTGCACTATAAGGCTCCGCAGAAGTAGCGAAAGAACTCCTCCTTGCGGACATCCTAGTGCCACAACTGGTGTACTTAATTTCAAATAGTGTTGATACGAGGCTACACGATAGCTCAAGAAAATTTAGTAACTCAGCTATGAACTTCTTTGTTTTGTGTCCATGATTGTTAATTTTGCCAGAGCTGTGTGGAATTAAGCAGAGCGGAGCCATGTAAATAGGCAAGTGTTTTCATTGAAGCTGTGCGAATATAAGCATTACAGAGCTGAGCGGAGCTGTGTGAAGTGGAGATAGTGGAGCTGAGTGAAGATGAGCTGAACGGATTATTTGCAGTCAGTCAAACAATTGAATAAAACAATGCTACAGCTCCGCTCGGCTCAACTCCGTGCCGCTTTGCCAAGCTTAACTCCACGCGCTATACATTTGATTGTTATTCTTCTGAACTCTACTAACTCTGTTTCCACTGAAGTGAAGTGGAGCGGAGGCAATGCGATTTGTATTTTTTTTTTAGAAACGGCTTTGCTCTGCTCTGTTTCGCGAAACTTGCTACTAGGATGCTGCAGCCGGATTTTGGTATTTTTAAATAGTTTTATCTGGAAGGACAACGCATGTCGAGACTTCGAGATTATGATGAACCCAAAACTTCACTTATAGTTATTGATTTATCCTTACTAAAATAGTACAAACAATTAAAAGGTTTTTCATACTTTAACATGTCCACAGATGATATAATAATCATTATAGTATGTAGTATGCCACATGCTTTTAATAATAACTAATTTTAAGAATGCTTTTTTCATAGCACTAAAACCATTATAATATTTAATGAGTTAAAGCTGCATCGCAACATCATGGTCCATTTTCATGAGTGCATTATAATTAAATCAAAATTTTAACATATATTCTTCTTAGGAGAGAAGACATAATAATAAATAAGTGTAATGTTTTATCAACTACAGTCTACTTAAATGAACTGTAGCTGATAAAGACTATTGTGTGGGTGTGACAATAATTTTGTTTTTCTTAATTTTTATCAAACTAATGTTGAGGTATACAAGAGGGTGATATCAAAGTTCATGATGTGACAATAAGAAGACTGTATTGTTACTGCTTTTATTGTTATCTTATTTGGTTTAATACAAAATATCTTTGAAATTTAAGTTACGTATTCTTTTCAAATATCTTTAAAACAAATACGATGTATGTATGCGAGAGTATAACATATTGTTTATTAGACACCTTATGACCTTATGGTCGTTTAAGCAAATTAATGCTATTTTTACCTAAGAATAAATAATAAATTATGAGAGTAAGTGTGATCCCAAAATCGAAGTTCTATATAGTCCGTCAGTTAGCTTTATGAAAAAATAATGGACCCTATTTATTAGTTTGTCAATCAACAAAAACATTACAAAGATTAAGCGCTTCAAAGTCTAGGGAGTGGAGGGTCGTGATGTCATTAATTTGTAAGAATTGTACCAAGACGTGACGTCATACGACATTTTAAATCGATATCTCGGTAATGTTTATATTATGTGAAAAAGAAAAAATACGTGTGCAAAACGTTTTCAATGTACTGATCTCGATGGCGCAGGTAGTATTTTAGTTCTATTCCATCCAGAGGGAAGGCCTGTACCCAGCAGTGGCGTCATAAAAAGGCTGATGATGAAACTTCCTGATAGACGAAAAAAAAGAGGGTTTAAAAAACTTATAAGGTTTATTCTATGTGCAACAGTTCCTTTTTCTTTATTACCAGTTTATGTCCGATTATCCGAATCGACCCCGGTCCCAATTAATTCGGATAATCGACGTTCTACAGTACTATTTTCCAAAGTTCAAGTTGAAAATATTCACACAGTATTGTTCTGAATGTACCACTTACCGAAACCTCGCCAATCATTGCATCGCTGCAATCATGCATGAATACAGCCATATGCTATTCTCGACACGACGTTGACCTCGACGACGAGAATTACTTAAAATCGATGTTGCGCTACCAATATGCTCTGTTGTTTTTCTTATCACCAACCTTTTTCTTGACGCTTATACATAACACCGGACTCTTTGGATGACAGATAATTCTCATCGTTTTATATAAAACTGGTGTTGTTATAATTTTTATTTTTTAAGCATGTAACTGCTTGATGTTTAAATCTAAATAAAATATAACTAGAAAAGAATCGACGTGGTCCAATAAGCAATTTTTTTAGGGCTACTTACTGTTAGGAGTCAGTACTTATACAGTATTTAGTTAGTGGGTTTATAATACCTACTATTAATTTTATTTTTGTCTGCAATTTTCTACGTGACTGTACTGTGCTTAACAAAACTGTCAATAAGGTCCAACTGGCAGTAGGGTATATATCTTGAAGGTCCAATGTGCACCAAAAAAGAGGTCCAATGGGCACATTTAATATAAAATTTTTAAGAAAGTCCAATGGGCACATTGAATATAAAACTTTTTAAGAAGGTCCAATGGACACCAAAAAAGAGGTCCAATGGGCACTTTTTGCTTTTGGGTCGAATCTTGAGGGTCCAACGGGTACTAGACCACTCAAACCTGGTGTTTCAACTGGTGTAAATAAACAGTGTATTTTGAATATGTGACATTTTGTCAGGGCCGGATTTAAAGCAGGGCAGACGAAGTTGTGACCCGGGGGGGGCTATAGAATTGTTGATCGAAGAACTTAAAAGATGAACATATGCTGTCGCGGACTTTTTATACCACGTTTAAAGGATTCCATTCCGTCATGCAGGATTTTTGTGTAACTTTAACCATTTACGCAGCGCAAATGGATTATTTTTTCCCTTTTTCGCAGCATTTTCATTGATGCTCCGCACCTACTAGTCGTAGCGTGATGATTTAAAACCTTCCTTGATAAATGTACTATCCAACATAAAAATTATTTATTATTTTTAATAAAAATCTTAAGCTAGCGCGTTCACCCAAACTAATAAAAAACATCTTTAACTTTATAATAATATTCGCAACTTTGTTCAAAAATTAGCATAATATTTTTTTATGAATACATTTTTTTTGGTTTCCCTTATTTTTTGTTATTATCCTAACTGTGATGCTTGTTTTGTTGCACAGTAAGTTGACAATACACGGTAATAATATATATAATATTATTATAGATAATATTACTGTGACAATACTTTGTCGAAACGCACTTTCCGTAGATATAATGTTGGTAGTTGTAAATTTATACGTTTTCAGAAAATCGAATCAGAGTTCCATGGTTACTACCCGCTAGAGCGAAGTGACCCGGTTTCTTTGCGGTTAAGTGTATTATATAAAGTTCAGTAAAACATGATGTGAGAAGACAATCCTCCGTCTATGTTACCTTTTTACCTAAATATGATTCCATTCATGTCAATTGTGTTTTCTTTAAAATAATAATTTGTAACGTTATCTGATGCAGTGTAATCGTGTAGATAATCTTAACCAAACACATTTAGTATTTAGTGGAACTAAGGAAAACACCGGCCAATTTCACTTCATCATAGTGATGCAAGACGTGTCGTCCGTTGACGAGAAGGGTCATCGTATTATTCCCGGTTAGTGCAATCAGCATTAAACGGGAATAATACGTTGACCTTTGGTCACGTATTTCCCATTATGGAACGAACGAAGATGCGATTTTTAAATATTTCTGTCCTTATCTTGAAGTGTAATTTAGTGGGAACGCAGATAACATAACATTATCACTAATTAAATAATGTAAATGAATGAGATTTTCAAATCATGGTGTTAATTGTATGGTTATTAGTTAATAAGTTATTTTCTTGAAGTCTGCAAAGAAATGATGGATAAGTAATGATGATGATAAACGCTTTAAAATAAATGTTAACCATTATTGAAGTCATTAGTGCCTCCAATGTATGTCTGTGGAGTCGACTTTCTTATTTGTAGAAAAATAATCTTTCACCCGAAACATAAAAAAAAACATATTCTTCTTTCACTTATTTTAGGGTTCCGGAAGTAACCACAGCGCCATCGAACTCCATTAATAAATAAGGGTCATACATATTTAAATGATTCTCAAATAATTACTAATTGCACAGGCACAGCATGAAATAGAATTTCCATCCTAGCTATCCTAGAAAAATAATTGTATTGCAAACCTAAAGGGAAGCCTTTAGGTTAGCCTTTAGGAAGGTTTGCAATACAATTATTTTTCTTTTGCGCTCTGCTTAGTAATTTCCCTTTAAGTCAGATGTACCATTGACAGTACCCCTAGCACGTACCAATATCGAATTCGAATCGTTTGCGAGTCCGAAATGTCATTGTCAAATATGTACTGATTTTTAGTTCTCGTTACGTACTTTGTGCCGCTGCTGTTCAAGTTTGCATACAAAATTTGACATTGACATTTCGGTTTGCAAACTATTCAAATTCGATAATGGTTCGTGCTAGGGGTAGAGTACCATTGATGGTACTACTGACACTCCTACGTCACTAGTTCTATTGAAAATTAAAAAACAAGACTGCCGTTAAAAATGCTACTATATTTGTATATATTTGATATGGTCTCATTAAGACCTTTCAAATGATACCGTTCACATTTATAATATAAAGGCGAAAGTTTGTGAGTGTGTTGCGAAATGGCTTGAGCGATTTTAATAAAATTTGGTATGGAGTTAGCTGACACCCTGAATTAACACATAGGCTACGTTTTACTGCGGGAAAATATCCCTCATATACGGCGTGTAACACCGCGGGGCACAGCTAGTAGGTACTGTAATTATTAGAAGCTTTTTTTGATAGAAATTGACATTTTGACATTGCTGTTATTTCAATTTTAACAGTTTAGGTATACTGTTTTACCCAGGATGGTGAATAGATTATAACCGATCACATCTAAATCGGTTCAGGCGTTAAGAAGTTATGGTGGAATAAAGAATTGTACATACATACATGAACCCTGAATATATTACACTCTTTTTTTCTTGAGCAGTCGAGTAAAAAATACAATATAATTCCCCCCGTGTTTACTCGGTGAAGTATCATGGATGGTACTACTGACACGCTTTTACTTCAATAGTACCATTAATAAATATAATATATTCTATCTAAATCTCTTATTTTTCTTAAAATACATATATATATCTTGACAGATTCGACGGTGTACTCCCAGGGTGCGGCTGCTACTCCAACGCCCCTGCTGGACGCGATGACACATGTAGGGAAGGCTGCCTCCTTGAAGAACATAAAGGTCGTTCACATGCACACTGAAAAGGAAGCCGCTTACACCGCACCCGAGTACAAGGACATATTCAGGTAATTATCGTCAATAGCATATTAATGTCCCTGTCTGCTGAAGCAAAGGACTTCCCTATGGACGAAATAGGGAGATTTGGCCAAGACTAGGGTTACCAGATGGCCGGTAATCATCTGGATCCTCTCGACTATTTATGATTTATAAAAAAAATAACGAAATATCTCGAAAAAAGAATATGACGATGCACTTTTCGTTTACCCAGACAGGGCACACTTGTCCGCGTCTAGCTTAAGTAGGACGTATGACGTCATACTAGGTCTCCCAGTCGGACAACAATCCCAAACGATTTTAACTTCTCGATTTGGCAATCCTAGCCAATCCAACTTCTTCCGCCCTGAGGAGGGTGCTAAAGACTATAGATGAAGCCGAGACCAACAATTCCGAAGCACGGAAGAGCTCGAGATTTTTTTTTTTTATTTTGGTTCCCTTGATGTGATGTATGTTTATCTACTATAGGTATACTTCTTCTTCAACCATATAATTATACTGTCATTACAAATGTATATATCTCTCTCTCTCTCAGCAGAGAATAAATACTTACAATGTAACAAACATAGCATTTGTTATTTTTTGCCGTCAGTAAAAAGTCTGTAGCGTGCGCCAGCAAATAGGTATTATGCATACATTATTGTATAAGGAATTCTCCTTGCGTTCATGCCAATGTTCGCATTATGCGAGGTTCGTGCTTACTTACTTACGATGAAAGGACAATGTTAAAATTGGCCTAAGAACCAACACCAATTTGGCATTTATGATAATTCTTAGTATATTTTTTGCAATAATTATCAGTATTTAGATTGTGACGGTCACTTCTGGTTAAGTAAGCTAAATTAAAAAGTTAAAAAATAATCTGAGACAATAAATACCATTTTATGTGTATAATATTTGGCAGCGCTGCAAACAAAACACTCTTTCTTCCTAATGCCGGCACTTCACTTGGCTATTCGTATTTGCTACTTTAAAATATGACATCAGTCTGTCCTGTTCATTCCTTATTAAGCATGACAAGGACAAACTGTTGTCAAGTGAAGGGCCGGCGTAAAACTCGTTACTCTGTGGTTGTGGTGCATGCAGTTGCATTCGTAGTAATCTGTGGCATTCGTGCATTCCAAAGAGTAGTATAATAAACCGGAAAGTGCATTCTCGTTTCGGATTACCTGTTGTGTGTGTTTATTTGCGATTGTTTTTCGTTTAATTTAACTATTTCGGCTTTCTTATATACCATCGCTGTTACCAAAGAGCAGAGCCCTTATTACCAAGTGCTAGTGAACCTGTGCCACAACATCCTGAGAGGATCATACTGGCAAATTATTCAAGAACACCTGATACACATTCACGCTGCATATTTACACAATATACCTACATGTGATATACAAATAAATACAATAAACAATATGATACAGTTATGTGAAAAATAGTCAATAAATAAGAAGCAAAACTACAGTTTTTATTTTATTCATGATTCCTACCTAACCAAGTTTTTCCTAATAGTTATTCTTTAAAATAGCACCGAATAAAATGAATTAGTTGTAATATTAATTCACTTCATACTGAGTTTATACTTACTAAATTCATAGGTTGACCTATGTTTCATTGAATATTAAACATAACCTCAAAACAATTTTAGTTTTCCTTATAATTAAGTTCTCAGAAGTGTCCGCCAATAATTACTTACGATTTTGAACCTAGAAAATAATATTTCATAATTGTTGGTTCGTAGGCTAACTATGTATGGACGCTGAACAATGTCCTTTGAGCGCCATCCTGAATTCCTGACACTAGCAAAACTACAGCAATTAAAAAAGATATTTGTACAGCTGCAGATTAAAATGATATTATGGAACTTCTTCAAGAAGTTAGCAATTAAGACGATTATCGCTTGCACTCGATCCCATTAAGGGTAGGGAACTCCAAAATATATGAAGATCTAGCGCAAGCAACTTATACCATTACCTTTAGGTGTGGTAGATCGCTAATTTCAATGGAGAAGTCAACAAACTTTCTTTGCGATAACAATAGAATGAAACAACATATGAATTAATAGAGCATTAAATTAATTTGACGTTAAAGTTTCTAAATATACGGATGTAAGTATCGCTCAGACTTATAGACTACATTTACCCCAAGCATTCACTTTTACAGATCCGTAATCCTATTGCTATCGTCAAAATTTCTATGGAAGGAGCCAGTTTGTTTTTACGTTCGGTGGAGGCGCTGCTTCGTTTCCATAGAAACTTTGACGTTGGTGATACGAATACGGAGCTTTCAAAGAAGCAAATACATTAATATACTATTAATCTCTTTTTATTATCACCACGACACCTGCAAACCCTAAATGTGAAATATCATTAAATGAAATTCACTATTTTATACGTAAGATTCGAAAACAACGTGGTCAGTGTATCAACGTTAATGACGTGTAAATATATGATTCGCTATAATGTTTGTTTTATTTTGGGATATCGCCGCGCCACGAGTTTATTTCTGCGTACACGCACGCACACATACACAACTACTAGGTCTCCTTGACTTATCATCTGTATGAACTAGTTTGATCAATGTCAAAGTCAAACTGTTTTTAAATTCGAATTTTTGTGCAAATATAGGTGTAGAGAAGTGCCAATGGAATTCGAGTAAACGACTAAGTGTAAATGAAAGGAGTCGAGTACGCCCGTATTCGGGTAGTTTTCGTTTTGGTTACTGGACACCTTCTTTCTGGGTACAGATGGACCAAACACAGGGGGATTTTATTTAATTACTTACAACATTTAATATACCACGAATATATAACCCCCCCCCCCCTAGTGCCAAAGCTGGCTATATGACCCCCACCTGGCGCCAAAGCTGGATCCGCCCTTGGCACGAATTACAATGTAAATATTGCTTCGGGTGCCCGAATTCGAGTAATGTCTTTCGTGGACCCGAATATGGGCTAACGATCGAGTGAAATAGGTCCACTATTGTTAAACAAAAACATTACTTATAACCTTAGATTGTAGTAACTATCATCATCAGCCTATTAAATCCCCACTGCTGAGGGTTAGGCCTTCCTTAAGTAGCCAACCTCGCATAATATAAGTATTATTTAAATATATTTTTTTACATAATTTAAGTATTCAATGAGTATCACATCATATATTTGACATCTATTTATCCGTGTTTGTATAGCAGTCTTTCCCAAAGTGTGGACACACACCCACAAGGGGTTGTGTGCGTTAGAAGGTTGCAAGGGCGTTCGTAAAATATCCAAAACAATTAGAAAAAAATAGGCTTGGGGATGCGTTAGGTACCTAAGTAATTTGTTATTTTTTTTTAATTCTTAAAATATATTTAAAATTACTTATAATTTAGTGAACTTATACTGTGGCACCGTTTGATTGTGTAATTAGTTCTGAAAGTGTTCGGTAGACAAATAAGTTTGAGGACCTCTGTGGTATTGTACTAATATATACGCTTGGCAATTATTCAAAAATTATCACACGTAGCTACTTCATGATCAATGAATTTTAATTGTCCAATACAATCTCTCGAGTTATTCGAATTCGAGTAATGTCTTTTGTCCACATACGGGCTAACGACCAAGTGTTACCGAGCCATTAGATAGGTGTAAAAACGAAACAGACGGCAGATCTGGTTTTTACGTATCAATGATTGGATTCATTAACTAAGTTCAAAAGTAATATAATAATAAAAATAAAGTTATATAAATATTTACATGAGTGACTATTTCAAATAATTGGCATAAATATTCTCTTATAGATTTTTTAAAACTTGAAACTTTTATTTCTTCTCTAATACTGAATTTAAGCCGGTTCATATTTAAAATATACTTTTTTCTTTTATGAAGAAGAGGGACAATGAGTATGCAAGATAAATTAAAACAGCAAGTCTAAAGTCCACATGATAGATGTAGTCGATAACTGAATGCGTATTGCGTAAGGAATCCGTCAGTTCATTAGTTAATGGACGCAAGTCTGTATGTGTTTACATTTTAGCCATACATAACAAGACAATGAACGAGCTGTACTCTACAGGTCAAAGTCCAAGTTGAGGTTAACTACATTACTGTTCACGTCTTAAAATGTGTGTATGGTAAATATTAAGGCGAGCTAAGCAAGTTAAATAACGGTTGCTTATAGACGGACCGAGCATTAAATACTGTATGACACAGCAATCAAAATGCAGGTGAACAATTTAAGTATAATTTCACATTATGTAATGAAAGGTGACTTCATGAATGATCTCTGAAGTAATTTTTCATCTTGACGACTCTGTAAATAATTAAACGGGGGAAAAAACCGCCATTGCTGAGTTTCTCGCCGGTTCTTCTCAGTATTCCTGCCGTAGATTTACGAACCGATGGCGTAGCTTCTAGACATTCATGAGTGCTTGTAAAATTGCCTAAATTGAATAAATGATTTTTATTATGATTGATTACGATTATGATTATTAATTAACTTTGATTATTTAATCTCTAAATAGTGCGTCACCTCGTAAACACTGCGAAATAAATGCGTCAGGGGGCCATTCGCCTAACGGAAATGCTATGGAAAACGCTAACGCTTACGATTTAATTTTGTTATTTCTAGTCGCCTGAGGTTTTCAAATGCCTCGCGCTCTCTTTTTTCTTTTGCATTGGTAATAACAATATTAAAAAAAATGAGCGTGAGGTATTTGAAAACCTTCGGCGGTCAGAAATAACAAAGTAAAATCAAAGCGTTAGCGTTTTCCTTAGCATTTCCGTTAGGCGAATGGCGCCCAAGTTATATATACATGTATCAAAGACTTGTATACGTGACACGCACACAAGACCTTGTTTGTGTTGTTGTATTCGTGACATGTGTGAAGACTCGCGTCTATCTACGTCATTCTTTTTGTCTCCGTGTGCGTGCTTAAGTATACCAGCTTTTACCACATTCCTCAAAACATGGGTAAAATTTATCAAATCAAACTTAGTATGTTGTTCACGCAACTAAAAATCATGACCGTTTAAGAGTAAATAATTAAAGCTAATTAGTTATATCTAGCTCCTTCGTGGTTCGTTATGACTAGCCTGTAGTCATTAACAAGAACGAAATACCATTCCACACATGTCACGGTTCACCCCCTACAAGTTTTAAATCGCGACAATAAGTAGCCTAATTGTCTATCTCCATGATGCCCGCTTTCTCCATTAACAAAATTCGTGGAATCGTGGAAATTGACCAAGCTATTTAGGCGTGAAAGCTTTAGAGATAGTAACACAAAGGATATGGTTCAAAGGGATACTTTTAATTTTTCATTTATCACCGATTTATTTTAAATCGTGTTTAAAAATTGAACAATTTTGTAAGGATCCTTGGCCACCCTGTCATAATAAGTCACGTCATATTTTTAGTGTATGGCAGCTTATAAAGTCAATTCCTTCATTCATCATTATGGTAAATGTCAATCGGTTCAGTCATCCATGATATTCCTGAAATCGTGGTAAACTTATTATACCAATGTATCATTGATTATTCTTGAAGTACTTAATACCACACCATACACTACCCACTAAATACTTAATCATGTTATGAAATATAACAGAATAATTATTACTGCTTTGATTTCCTATTAAATAGAATATATTTGATATTTTGTTAACAAAAAATAGATAAGTAAAGACGCCACTTGCCAAACAATAAATTGTATTATTTTTATATTATAATAATTATTTAAAAACGCGGGGATAAAACGTTTGCTATTAAGTGCACTACATCTCATAAAAATTTGAGAGTCTGCCGGAGACCGACTACCACGCTCCATACAAATTTGAACCGTCTGCTTTAGAAAATAAATTCCTTTATACCCTTTCAGAAAAGGCTATTAGTAAATACTCCCATTTTTTTATAAAAACTAAAGACATTTGATAATTATAATAATTTGAAAAGAAATTTAAAGTTAAAAATATACCATTTATACTGTAATTTATTATTTTACTTGCATCGAAGTACAGTTTTAATATTTTAACATTTGTGTTATCAGTAGCCATATCGGATAGTTGTCATATAACGGTGATAACAACATCTGCTTGAACGCATTCGACACCAAAGCAACTTGTATCTTATCGTATAATCGTAAAATCTTCTTTTATTTGCCTAGTAAACATAATCTTCAACAAAGATATTTGTCAGGGTTATTGCATGAAATATATACCGTTGCTACGCCTAGTCATATAAGTACCTTGTGAGAGATTCTCTCCGTGATAATAGGTAACACCGGTAACACGATATACATCCATCCGAAACAGGTTAAGAAATCTAATAAAACAAGATTTTCTCGTAATTGAAGTTTAATATCGTATAGAATTGTATATGGCAATAAAAAGTCAAAAATGGACCAAAAACTTTAAAAGGTATAAAAACAGCCATTTTTGCCAATAACATATATCGCACTTCGCACTTATATTATAAAGTCGAAAGTTTGTGAGTGTGTATGTTTGTTACTTCTTCACGTCTAAACGGCTGGAGCGATTTTAATAAAATTTGGTATGGAGTTAGCTGACACCCTGGATTAACACATAGGCTACGTTTTACTGAGGGAAAATATCCCTAATAAACCGCGGGGCACAACTAGTAGTACATATATTTACACTTATATAAAACTTTAGCATTTCTACAAAAACGTTAATGGGTGGTTACATAGGAGTTGAAGAAGCAATGTCATCTAAAATTTTAATAAACTTGACTTAAAACCTTGTTTAATTCTTATTTAGGTTTACTTTAATACTGTTATCATATGCATGTATATTAAACAAATTATGTATATCTGTTTAAATATATACACCCAAACCTGAACCTAAGCAGCTCCTACGTCCCCAATTTTCTATGGATCCTTTAGCTCTGAATGCACACCAGCGACTAACGTAGTTTCAGAAAAACTTTAATTTTAAGGCTTTCATAACAACCTTTGCTAAGAAACAGAACTAGATTATCCTTACCTTTGACTGTAGGTTCATTATCATTGAAACTGGCCGTGACTATGCTTAGTGCTTATATTTGAGACGATAATCCTCCCTGCTTGATTCCAGGTCTTGTTCTCTCTTCATGGCGGCTAACGTCCGCAAAGCGGTTGCTGAAGGCCGCTCCGACACCATCCCCATCTTCCTGCAGGACATCCCCAAGCTGTTCCACAGGAAGATCATCCAGCCCGACATCGCCATTATCCAGGTATGTTACTTGCTGTTTCAAAGTAGCAATCTGTCACTGTTGTTTCCGGAGAACGTTAAACAGCCTTTCGATGTCCCCTCTTCTGGGGCAGAACTAACTCAGAATCATAAGAATTCTCTAAGTTTTGTTTGCTTTTTGCTTTTGATAAATAGATAATTCAACTTGATTCAAATATTCATAATTATTTATTTTCTAATACATGCACCGTTCAGGAGGCAAACGTATACAGAAAAATAGAGTACTGTTTATTTAACGCCACAAAAAAAATGTAGAGAAGCTTTGGGCTACATGAGTGAATGTGAGGGAGTCTCGCATAACTCCGTTAATATCACGGGCAGGCTGTACACCTTCAACGTTAATACGGAATAATGTCTTATACCCTTGCCACACACACGACGAGTGGTGTGGGAAGTATTTCATTTAAAGAGGTACACCAACAGTATATATACTCGTATATCACATTACATAAAACTTTTCACTACTACCAAGTGCTTATACATATACATTTTATAGGCGTACACAACAATGGTAGCAATAGTACTCAGTTATAAAAAGAAGAAAAAAACAAAACTATGATTAAAACTAACAGTAATTCTAATATTAATCTAAAAAAAATGCTGAACGAGTTTGATTGAAAATTGGTACGCATATGGTTTGTGACCTGGATTGATACATTGGGATGCTTGTTATGCCGAAGTAATTTAAGGTTCCAAAAAACAAAACTAAAGTAATGCATTAAGAATATGTTCTTGTTATGATGTAATCTGTTTTATGCAGTGTTAAAGTAAGGGTAACTTGATGGAAATCATCGTATATTCTATACATATTTTGTGAACTCCGTTTCACCGTAATTTTTAAAGGAGACCTGTAATTGGCCTTTTTTTATAACTAAACATGTAGTAAATTTGTAATTAATACGCTGTTGGTTTCTTAAAATAAAAAAAAATATAATAATAATATATTATGCTCATGCTCCTCGTCATGCCACTGCTCCCTATAATGTCGGTTTTTTCTTTGTATGACATTTATATAATTGGCTATACTAAAAATGCACAGAGTGCACTTTGCCACAGCCACATCGTCCATCGTATAAAAAAAGCAATAACCAAGTGAGGAGCTTCGCGATTCGCGAGTGTGTGCAGAGAGGGCAACATCGCGGCGTCACAAGGAGCAAAGAGATGAGCAACGCGAGGAGCATAGTGTGGCGTCGCTAATAGACATAGAGAACGGACTCAACGACACTGGCATGTTTTGAAATAGCTAATACATAGATCACACTTTATCTTTTTCACACATATCTGCCTAGTTATCCTACTATAGGGAATATAGGCCGTTTTTTGTGATAGTTAGAGCCTAATTTTGTATTGAGAAGTTTAACCATAGATTAACTTGGCGAAATAACCTATCTCTAGAGCCGTAAAGTTTAAATAGCCCGCATGAATACTGCTTATGCGTACCCCAAGCAGTTAACGGTTGGTTAGTGTACGCTCAATCCAGTCTCCATGTCTATGGTATTATCCCAACATTTAAAAAGGTGCAGTATAAATACATCGATGACGATTTCCCACAGGTTTCCCCCCCTGACCAGCACGGTTACTGCAGTCTTGGCACCTCGGTGGACTGCGTCAGGGCGGCGCTGGTCAATTCCAAAATTATCATTGGTAAGTTCAAATCGCCTTAGGACTGACAGCCGTATTCAAATCGCCTAATTACAAAACGTAGTATAAAGTTTTAAACCTGTACATACATTGATGGTGTCACTATTGCTTGCTTTAAATAAGACAGAGAGATTAGATTTAAATAATACTAACTTTAGTCCGCGTTTTGGAATAAGGCGGTAAATCTCCATATATTGAATGCATCATTAGCGGCGAGTTTCAATAATCAAAACTAATTCGACGTGGTCACTAAGCTAGTGCGTCCGCCGAGACTGCGGAAGGTGCGGTCTCGAACCCGTGTGATGCTTGGTCTAAGCCGTCGTGGATATTTTTTCTGGTGAAAGTTAGGACCGCGGTGGCATAATTGGTCAGTCAACAGTATCCGCTCGGATAGTGGAGAGTTCGGGTTTGAATCCCGTCTGCTACCTGATCCGCGTGGATTTTTTTTCTAGTAAAATTTTCTTTAGATTTAAACATCTAGCAGTTAATGCTACAAAATTAAAATATAACTAGTAAAATTTTATTTGATTCATAAATGTGCCCGTTAAATGCTTATACATAATAAAAAAAACACGATGTAAGTGAAACTTTTAAACTCATTATTAAAGAAGTTCCTTCCTCGGCTGGGAATCGATTCCGGGCCACCTGCGAAGCAGTGTTTGATATTGGTTCGGACTCAACTTTTCATAACAATTTAAATGTAATATGACATGCTACTCGCATCCAGCTCTTGCCAGCCACCTTGCTCAAATCGTCACTCCGTCGTGCCTGAGGACGTTCTACACTACATTTGCCTAGACGCGGTCTCCACTCCTGAACTCGTCTACCCAAACGGATATCGGTTCTTCCGCAAATATGGCCAGGGAGCTGGATGCGAGTAGCCCAAGATCGATCTGAGTGGCGTGCATTTGGAGAGGCCTATGTCCAGCAGTGGACTAATATGGGCTGTTGATGATGATGATGTCATGCTAAAGATGAACAAAAATATCTGTGGCGATTTAATTTCTTTAAAACAGCATTGTTCTATAATATCGCAAAAATTTACAGCTCAAGTGAACAAGAACATGCCTCGTACATTCGGCGACGCCATTATCCACACGTCGCACATCGACTACGCCGTTTTGGATGATACTCCGCTACCCGAACACGGTGGGAAACCGCCCAGCCCTGAGGAGGCCAAGATCGGCCAACTTATTGGCGACAACTTGGTCGAAGATGGCGCCACTTTGCAGATGGGTAAGTTGGTATATTGAACCTTAAATACAACGCCATAGAACTCTGCCACTGTGTCTTTGATGCCATGATGTATGGTGGAAAACTGCCCAGCCCTGAGGAGACTAAGAACTTATTGGCGACAACTTGGTCGAAGATGGCGCCACATTGCAAATGGGTAAGTTGGTATATTGAACCTTTAATACAACGCCATAGAACTCTGCCACTGTGTCTTTGATGCTATGGTGTATGGTGGAAAACTGCCCTGACCTCAGGAGGCCAAGATCGGCCAACTTATTGGCGACAACTTGGTCGTAGATGGCGCCGCATTGCAGATGGGTAAGTTAGTATATTGAACCTTAAATACAACGCCATAGAACTCTGCCACTGTGTCTTTGATGCCATGATGTATGGTGGAAAACTGCCCAGCCCTGAGGAGACTAAGAACGTCAAATTTATTGGTGTCATCATACTTAATATTATAAATGGGTAACTTTGTATGTTTATTACTCAATCACGCTCAAACTACTGAACGGATTTGGATGAAGTTTGGTGCACATATAGTTTATGACCTGGATTATGACATTTTTTATACAGAATGTTAAATCAATGCTCACAATCAACATAATTAATGAAAAGACGGACTTATTGGTTTGTACCCTGAGCGATTTCACAAAACTAGCTTCTAGAGTGGATCATCGATTTCAATTAATTATTTTTCCAATGTATTTCTCAAATGGATGTATCTATTACCTTAGGTAAATATCTGTAATGATAAGTATAAGTATTAGATATAAATAAATAAAATAAAATTTAGTTTTAATCTTACAGAATCATGGCAGAATCGACACCAATGACTAGAAATTGTTTTTTAAGTAATGTTTTTGTTTAGGTATCGGCAACATCCCGGACGCAGTTCTGTCCGCCCTGAAGAACCACAAGGACCTCGGCATCCACTCGGAGATGTTCAGCGTGGGGGTCATCGACCTCGTCAAGCGGGGATGTGTCACCAACAACAGGTTAGTGACCGTCGCGTCTGTGTGTCTGTCTGCTTACGCGCGCTCTTCCAATCGATCAACGCGGGTGAACCGAAAGACATTGTCAATATATTATAGACTAAAACCTTCCCTGCCCCTCTCGCATGAGCACTGCGATATTGTTACGTGTCGGGATGGGGTTCCAAATTATATGCCAGTTATTTATTCACCACACAGTCCACACAATGTTAATTACAAAACACTCAATAAACACTGAATTTCGCTATACAAGTTTCTAAACTATCGCACTTGAACACTTTTGTTGCACTTTGATCGCCTTTGGATTCGCTCCGAAATCGCTGTTGAAACTGTCTCGGCGCGGCTCCAATTGCGCTTTTATACGCCGATCGAAGCTCTCTAGAAAGTACCTGTTAAATTGAGAGTTAGCTAACACCCGCGAGTACGAAGAACCTACTTATACCTACCTACGCAGGTAACGCGCATAACTTGTAAACAAGTGCAGATGTCGTTGCACTTTCTCCCTTACGCCGCACTGCATAAGGCTCATTTTAGAATGAGCCGCATTACCTCTATCGCGACCCGCGGTGCTCTGGAACTTTCGATCTGTAGCACTTTCGCGGTTCCGTTTCGAGAGACTTTGTGACAATATGATATATAGCTCGTTTTTATCACACTTAACTGTCAAATTACTATAGAGTTTTGACAGTTAGACGCGATTAAAAACGTGATATAATGTAAATTGTGGTGCTCATGCTACGGGTACTGATAAATATGTATTTTTATATCGAAAATTCCGTCCAAAGCGGATCAGTTGTTTTTGAAATAATCGCGGACAAACATACATCCAAACTTACTGGTCAAACTGAGAATATATAATTATAGTTATGTTTTTATTTTTTAAGCATTTAACTGCTAGATGTTTAAATCTAATCCGAGATATTTTTTTTTATGTCTGTTAAAAAGAGATAGATATGGTATGTTAAAACGCGCGCCACACACGACACATTCAAACGTGTTCTTACGCGCGATAACATACTCCTTCGTCGTTTTTAACTTTCACTAGCTGTGCCCCGCGGTGTTACCCGCGGTTTATTAGAGATATTTGCCCGCAGTAGAACGTAGCCTATATATTAATCCAGGGTGTTAGCTAACTCCATACCAAATTTTATTAAAATCGATCCAGCCGTTTAGACGTGTAGAAGTACCTAACAAATATACACACTCACAAACATTCACCTTTATAATATTAGTGTGATATATTTTTGTAGCAGTCTATACAATAAAAAATAATTTGTCAAAATTTTTGAAAAAGGGGGTGCATTGTTGGCTTTAAAACCCGGGCGCCGCATATGGTTAAGACGGCCCTAGTACGACCAGTACGATTAACTGATCGATCCGCCCCGATGCAGCACGGATTTTATTCAAATCGCTCCAGTCGTTTAGGCGTGAAGAACTAACAAACATACACACACACACAAACTTTCGCTTTTATAATATTAGTGTGATAACGTAGTTTTTACACTGTCGACACACACATTTCGGCATTTTGATTTATTCTACACCTATGCTTTAAAACCGCTATTAAAGATTCTGAAACAATTTATTATTAATTTCGTAATAACAATCTTTCGCTTTTTAAATCCCTGCCGCGCCAAGGGCTTGCTCATCAGACAGCCAAAATTTTCACTACTAGATGCGTAGTATTATCTATTTCAAAAAAATAACATGGTCATTCACGCGCGCTTTACTACCACAGCGCCGAAACGCTTCATGATTTTTAAGTTCTTAGAACGCCCCATGGTTTCAGAATCTTTTATAGAGGATTCGTATCATGGGTGTAGATAATGTCTTGTATTCAATTTCATTTCATTCAATTCAAAGTTATTACTATGTATTAAAACACTCGTGTGATAAACCCATAACGTAAATAGTTTAATCATCATCATAACCAGCCTATTAGTGTCCCCACTGCTGGGGCACAGGCCTTCCATATGGATGGAATAGGTAGATTGGGCCATGACCAACCACGCGGGCCCATAAATTTTTAGTCACTCATCCAATGACCGACCACTGCGAAAGTTGCTTAACTTCAACGATCGCAGTTGAACGCGCTTACCACTTGCACCATTGAGTTCCTCGTGTTTTAATACCCCTCATTATACAGTTGCATAAATAACTATTAGTGCGCAATAACCAGGCGCTTCACCAATCGCTGATATTATGCGACTAAGGCCCGTATTACAGAAAGATTCACAGTGATTGATCTAGACTTGAGTACAGTTAGAAAGGGATGTCGCTATGTGCTATATATAGCGACATCCCTATCTTACTATGCTCAAGACTAGACTACTACTATATTGTTGTTGACTACGCGATCATTTTACGGAGCTCCGCGTATCATTAGGACAGGTTTCGGCCACGATTTTGTTCGTGATGTTGTATCTAGGATAATTAATATTATTGTGTACTCCCCGTTGACCTAGAATAAATTAAGAATTGAAAGATAATGATTTAATAATTTGTCTGTTTTTATTTTAGAAAAAAGAACCACAAAGGACGTATTGTGGGCAGTTTCTTGGTCGGCACGAAACAGCTCTACGATTTCGTCGACAATAATCCTTTCATCGGTGAGTAATTGTGTAATACAAATTTCTTAAAAAAGCGGCCAAGCGCAAGTAGGACTCGTCCATAAAGGATTTCGTAGTGGCAAGTTACATAATATAAAACCTAAAGCGCTCTGCACCCGCTATCGATCAAGGCACGCCCCGCGCGAATTATTTACTTAGGCACCTATTACAGATTTATATTCAGAGCTTCTAGCTCTAAAAAATGAATTTTTTTCGCGTCCATATTGTACTGTCATATCGAATTTAATATTACAGTCATATAAAAATAAAAGTGCTGATGCCTTCCTATTGCATTCACGTCAATGCAATAGGAATCCACCTCAACCTCCGTATTCTTAATAGCGCAAGGCGTTTGACCACAATCTCGCCTAATGGAAAGCGATAATGAGGCCTAGGATGGTACACGCCTGCCTAGAAGATGCCTGTTCACTCTGGCGTTGAAGATGTCCAGGGGGCCATTTGCCTAATGGAAATGCTTTGGAAAACGCTAACGCTTACGATTTCATTTTGTTATTTCTTACCGACGAAGGTTTTCAAATACCTCGCGCTCATTTTCTTTAATTTGTTATTACCAATGCAAAAGAAAAAAAAAATTCATCCGCGAAAACAGATCTTCCAGAAATTCTCTTCTTTACTTTGAGTTAGTATAACGCGATTCAAATAAGAATAAGAAAGCCAATGACCTCTATCCGTCAAATGTCGCTTGAAAAGTACGGTTTGCATAAAAATCTTGGAACCCTTTTTAGCACTCCGCTGATTCAAGAACAAAAACAAACAATAACAAATATTGATAACTAATATCGGTTGATATTTTTTTTCACTTATTGAGCTTTGGCCATGAATGGTTGATAACCAAATGTCACCTTAAGTTCCGTTCAGAAACTTGATTTCAAACTTTCGTTTACATAAAGAATGCATACTCGTTTGTGACCTAGTAATAGTGCAATATTATTCATTACTACTCCGGCGGTAATGCACAAATGAGCGGAATAGAAGAGCTAGATTCTGATTAATGTTTTTTCTCACAGTCTTAAAAATAAATATTATTTAAAATTGGTGGTTTTTTTTCTCAATCTTAGTAAATAAATGTTATTAAAAAAATCTGATGCTTTTTCTCACTTAATCTTAGTAAATAAATTTTAATAAATAAAAACTTTTATTTTTGTTCACTCTACCCATTTGGTTTGACAGCTATGACATCACAATATGGCGCCCAGTCGGTCCTATTCTTAGTTGAATCGCATTATACGGATTGGACTCGCGTTCGGGAAACACCCATTATAATTTCCTAAATAAAGTAGTGTCAACTTGTTCGTTTAACAGAGATGCTGGAGATCGACTACGTGAACAACACTCACGTGGTATCCTTGCAGCCGTGCATGACGGCCATCAACTCTTGCATCGAGGTCGACCTCACCGGGCAAGTGTGCGCCGACTCTATCGGTGAGACAAATATATGTACTAACTAGTGGCCCGCCCTCGCTTCGCTTGATCGGAGTAGAATTGATCAAAATCCTTTCTTAGCAGATACCTACGTCATTACATCTACCTGCATGACAAATTTCAGCCCGATCCGTCCAGTGGTTTGGGCTGTGCGTTGATAGATCACTATGTCAGTCAGTCACCTTTGAGTTTTAGACACAGATATATAGACACAAAAAGTAAGAACAGGTTAGAACATAAAGGTACAAGAATCGAGTGAGGAAGGCGGCTCTCGTTTAAGAAGATGAGAGACCGCTAGCTGTCTCTCTCTCGCTCTCTCTCTCTCTCTCTCTCTCTCTCTCTCTCTCTCTCTCTCTCTCTCTCTCTCTTGTGACGCATGGCATCCAATGGTATCACATCACAAGTAGAGGATATACTTCATGTTTTTGTCATTTCAAATGACTAAACAATCGAATTTTGAAAAGCTTATCTACCTATCTCCGATTTTGAACGCGAATTTAGAAGAAAAGTTTCATACAACATTTGCTTTTAAACTAGCTGTACCCCGCGGTGTTACCCGCGGTTTATTGAGAATATTTACCCACAGTAAAACGTAGCCTATGTGTTAATCCAGGGTGACAGCTAACTCTATACCAAATTCTATTTAAAGCTCCAGCCTTTTAGACCTGAAGAAGTAACAAACGTACACACTTACAAACTTTCGCCTTTATAATATAAGTGTGATTATCATAAAATACATTAATTTCCAGGCACCCGCATGTATTCGGGATTCGGTGGCCAAGTGGACTTCATTCGAGGCGCGGCCGAATCTGTGGACGGAAAAGGGAAACCTATCATAGCTTTAGTTTCCAGCACCAAGAAGGGAGAATCGAAGATTGTGCCCACTCTTAAAGTCGGTGAGTTTCTTCACTCGAGAGCAAAGAATCCGGGTCACATAAAGAATCCTAAAAATCTCGCAAACTAAGAATGCTGGCTTAATAAAATAAATTGTCTTTAATAGACAATTAAATACTCCATAAATGAAAGTAATAAAATTCATGAGTCACCACATTTTATTTACAAAAAAAATACGTAAAGATAAAAACTGGCTAATCACGCCTTAAAACAAAAATGGGACACATGACATTTTTGATCAACATTACGATTTTCTTGAATTTTATTACTTCGAATTGCCTCCCCGTACTTCCATTACTGCGTTTACCCGCTTTTGGCATGCTGTACACCAAGTTTCTTATACGATTTTGGGGAAAATTCTCCCATTCCTCTGTGAGAGCAATTTTGAAGCGTTATTGGGGAGGGTTTCGTCGTTTTAGGCATCTCCCTAGCTCGTAGTGCCTGGGCCTCTCACGTTATAGACCACATTAGAGGCGAGGCAAGCCCATCGTAGCTCAAAGTCGGTAAATTGCTACGCGATTGTAAACTCTGCTCTATATACAAAAAACGAGCGAGCCTTACAGTAGTCGCGTATGATGTGTAACATTTGAAACCTCACCTTATATTAGTAAAAGAAGAAATAAAACTTACTACAAAAGGAATAAGCCATTTGAACATTATGTTCTAAAATCAAATCTAATAGCGCGCGCTTTCGCGACTTCCTGTTACACACTTACGTCCCATTTCACGAAATCACTCCCACAAATTGCAGGAAAGCGAGAGGAAAGATGTTTACACATCAAAAATGTTCTATGAATGGTACACCATGCTATTTTGATAGATAAGTGTGCTGCGTGCCTCTGAACTATCAACCTTATTTTATGTAATTCAATTATTGTAAGGGACAAAATTAAATATGTATCATAATATTTGGACAAGCAGTCATTTATACTAATATGCCAGCACTTATTTACTACATATATAATAAATTATATATTTATGACTTCTAAAATCATTACACTTTTCTGCCAAAATAGTCTAATTATCTATCTATATATGCGTGTCCGCAATTTGACTCCCTGCTTTAATATGGAGAATATATGGAAAAAGTATAAATAAACTTAAATCTTAATGGGATTGAACACAATTTCCAAATACCATACCCCAGCCTTTCCTACATTAGACTGCTCGTGAATTACCCACGGAACTGCTAAAAATATAAGTAGTAATAAATACATATGTACACACTTACACACACGCACACACATACATACAGGCACATTCTTTGCGTTCTGAAAAAAAAATATTTTTTAACTTGAAAATATGCTTCCCACAAAATATAGATAATATCTATAGATATCTATAGATAATATCTATATTTTGTAATATTACTTGTATGGGTGTACAGAATGCGTAGTTTTAGTCTTTGTCATAAGATTTTTTACACACTGTATATACATTAAGTAGTTTTTAAGTTGTTGAAATTTGATTTTGTAAACATCTATTGTAATATTGTAAATAAATAATTATTTTAAATTTTGTTCCTGTGTACTAAGAAGAAAATTATGTACAGAAAATGACTAGGTATAATACAAATGAAAATATAATTTGTTTTCTATGTTAAAGTCGAATGGATTCTTAACAGTGTTGTCATCGTTAAGATTCCATTGGACCGTTTTAATGCATACTTTTACATTACATTACACACAGAGAGGTCATTCGTAATTCACAATTTTTATTTTATCAGTTTAATATCAGCATTGAATATGAACTTCACTAGCTTATAGGATACAAGTTATTGTCTAAACCTGAGGATTGAGGCACTCTGTATGCTGAAATACAGGATGAAAATCCTAGTTCGGCAGCAGATGCTAAAGATTGTCTTTTATATTTTTAAGCTCATATATGGTGTCTATAGTTTATAAGACGTAACGTTACTTATATATGCTGGTCTAAATAAAGATTATAATAATCTATACTTTAATAATTCCAGGGGCTGGTGTGGTGACATCCCGAGCTCACGTACAATACGTAGTGACAGAACAAGGCATCGCCAACTTATTCGGCAAGACTCTAAGGCAACGCGCGCATGCACTGATCAACATATCCCATCCGGACCATCGCGAAGCTCTCGAGAAGGCGGCCTTCGAAAGATTGAAATGCATGCCTGCACCTTGAAACGTTTTACGATAACCACAAGCAATAAGATTAAACTTTGCGCTCAATTCTGGCAACACTCTATTACACGAGTTTGACGAGTATCCATGGTCATGAATAAAATTTCAAAAAAAATCAAGTTTCACGGCTTGAAATGTCCAACTTCAAACAGCGGCCGAATAAGCGAAACCTTAGAAAATGTTTGTGCTATAAATGTCGAAAATGTTCATGTCAATCTAAATGTTAAAAAATCGAGAAAGTGCTGCTAATTTCTTTGGGGAGTGCGAAAGAATCGAGCCTAAGTTATCTTGCTTGACAGCAAAATAAAACCAAATTAGTAATTTTCAGTTTTTGGTAGCGAGTTAAACTTTGTATGCTTAAGTACAGTCTAGGCTGTGTCAGTTGATAAACATGCTCTATGAATTTCGCGCTTAGTGTGTAATAAATGCGCTGTCAATATCAAAATTTACCTATCTAAGACTGCACAAATTACCAGTGCCTGCATTGGCTGTAAAGTATTTTAATCGTTGAATGATTAAAGTATTATTTACGTGCGACATGCTACGGAATTACAGAATGCTTGATCAAATGTAATATTGCTAGATACAATATTCCATAGACTTAGAATTTGAAATGTTCTGCCTTATTGGCCGCAATAGTAAACAGTTTGACTTTAAAGTGGTGTCGTGTATCGCTTAAAGTAATAGATTTAAAGTAGAAAATATAGTCGATTTGGTAAAATAAACTAGTTATGCGTAGTAGTACTGTATTGATATTCGCGTATTGCTGAAAATAAGCCTTATTTGAAACCCAAAATTCCGATCCATGTGTTTACAGACCCGTAAATAGCCGTAAGCATCCAGAATAATTTAGAGTAAGCGTAATAAATTTTTTGATTATAAATTTATGTTACTGTAATATTATTTTTACGTTATAATGTATTGTTCTTTTATGTTTAAAAAATATGTTAACTAATCATTTTTATTGTATTCTGGTGTATCATGGTCAGTCAAATAAGTGTGTTTTGTTATTGAATTTTACAATAAACATTACGGACTTAATAATTCTTGTTTTAATATCATAATATCGACCCACTTAACTACATTGATTTCAATTTAATGCAAAAATTAATAAATATTTTTAATGGTCAATTCATACTAGCACAGAGTCGAAGCGTCATTCAGCGTCAATCATAAACAAGCCAAAGCAAATTCACCCTTATCTCCGTAACGTAATGCACATATTGCTTCTGATCTGATAATCAACGGAATTTCTTTTTTTTTTTAAGAAGGAATATGCATTATGTCAAAACTATACTTATTTACCGTGTTGTGTTGTTGTGACGCATCAGAGAGCTGTTTCAGACATTTAGTATGGTAAGAGTGAGAACCCTGTCTCCACATCGCGTCAGATCGCGATACGCAAGTATAATTCTAACCGTACTGATGAAACCACAGAACACAGAAAGAGGTGAAACCTCTTTCTGTGTTCTGTGGATGAAAGTGATCGCGTCACGACCACGACAACACGTCAGATAATTATATTTCTGCCTATACGTTGCTTAGATTACGGTGAATTACGTTTTTGAAATTCGCTTTGATGCATAGAATCTATTATGAGTCGACCATTAGTGGCCAGGGGTTCAATCGACTAACGGGATTGCTATGGCTATCGCTTACGATTTCCCATTGTTATTTCTGACCGCGCCGAAGGTCTTCAAATGCCTCGCGCTCTTTTTTTTCTTTTGCATTGGTAATAACAATATTTAGAAAATAAGCGTGAGGTATTTGAAAACCTTAGGCGATCAGAAATAACAAAATCGAAATCGTAAGCGATAGCCATAGCAATCCCGTTAGTCGATTGGCCACCTGGGGGCCAATCGCCTAACTGGATTGCTTTGGAAAACGCTATCGCTTACGATTTCATTTTGTTATTTCTAGCCGCCTGAGGTTTTCAAATGCCTCGCGCTATTTTTTTTTCTTTTGCATTGGTAATAACAATGTTAAAGAAAATGAGCGTGAGGTATTTGAAAACCTTCAGCGGTTAGAAATAACAAAATGAAATCGTAAGCGATAGCGTTTTCCAAAGCAATCTGGTTAGGCGATTGGCCCACTGGAGTGCCAGATTTTAAAATACGCTCCCGTTATGGGCATCCTTTGAGTCCATCAAACCTCTAAATGTAGCCCTGAATTTAAACGTATCTGATAGTCTTATTAAAACGATCGGGTGTTAGGTTCTATTTAAAATATTATTTTTTCTATAAATTGACAGAGTCTGTGCGGAAAGATAATGGGCGTGGCGAAAAACGGAACTAACATTAAGATTTTTATTTGGCAATCAAACCCAGCAATCTGTAAAACGTCAAAGTTTTGTATTGATACGGATTTGTTTGTTGTTGTGATTTCTTTCGGGTTTTTGTATTTAATCATGTCTAAAAGGGGTAAAACCTTACAAATACGTTAGAAAAGCACTAGAGCGCCCTCCGATCTAAATCCCATTCTCTTTCCGCACAGACTCTATCTCTCTTTCCAGTGAGTTGTAAATCGAGTGTCGCTTAGTTCCACAACTCTGGATCATGATCCATTCTCTATGTCTATGGTGATAAGCAAGCTAGACTATAAACAGATTATAAATAAAGTTAACATGCTTCCAATAGGTACTACTTGTAACGTCCCCAGACGGAGGCTCCAATTTGAGTTGAAAGTTTACTATTTTAAGAAGAACCTTAAGGTTAGCATCCACCAGGCGGGCCGCATTTGATCGCATTGCAACGCGTCAATCTGCTTGCTATACATTTTGTATGAAAGTGCATCGATTAGAGGCGGGCCGTGACAGACCACGACGGTCTCCGTCGGCGTATCACTTGGCGAGAGTATTTTTTGTTGATGCCCAGACCCGGCCCGGCCCAGCCAGCCCTGCCTCAGTGGATTTTTTTTTTTGACTGGGTATGTCGTTGGTCGCGGATGACCTTTACAGGGTCACCTGGGTTTGGGGACGGCGAGATCCTAAGTGGACTAGAGGTAATAGAGGTATTCCAGCTGGCTCCAGATTCCAGGCGAATTGCTCTCCACGGGGAAAGTCTCCTCTCCGTCTGGAGCCTCTAGACCACTCGAACCTGAGGAGCCAGAGGATACATAGAGTATCAGAGCATTTATATGCTTTAAGATGGAGCAGCGTAGCACAGCGCAGCATTTATTGTAGAACTTTGTATTTAGAAAAAAAATGAAATTCTTCTATTAAGACATGCGAAAATATTCAAAGAATTTCACCGGATCGTTATTGAGGATGAGATCAAAGAAGTAATGAAATTCACAACAATATCTTCTTTTCATGAATATGTCGCAGGAACCCAGACTTTAAGCTTACGTTGTTTATTATTTTCGTTCTCCTCATCCAATAATAAAATTAATAATAAACATAATTCCTCATCGGAACTATCGAGCGAGCGGCAGTACTTTCGCACTCGCAAATGCTCGCTTATTAATTTTATACGGTAACGTACGGTACTTCCCCAGGGGTGTCTTTCCCATAGGAGCGCTAGGTGTGGCCGGACCCGGGCGCCGGGCCCTAATGGGGCGCCAGCCTGGCTGGGCAATCAACATCTACATGAATCTGGTGGTAGATAGTACCTACCTACTTACCTTACCCAACTACAATTTTATAAATATTACTTTAAATAAATGTTTAAAAACAAAATAAAAACATACGATTTAAGTATATACAGTCAGTCGTCGTCATAATTGGCAACGATCGTACGATGACACGATGCGTTCTTGTCGTGCGATGATTTTCAAACATATAGATTTCTTCAGAGATTCCGCAATGAGCTGCAGGCGACAACCGCAGACACACAGACACTGAGGTGCACTGAGGCTAGCACCTGCGGCTCACCGTGCATTATATGCGTGCGGCCGCGGCATGTCGCCGAATCACTTTCATAGAGATTCATAGAAACTAGTAATGTCGCCACAGGCGCTAGCCTCAGAGTCGCCTGCAGTTGTAGCCTGCGGTTGTCGCCTGCTGCCCATTGCGAAATTGTACCTTCATTGCCAATTAAATGATTGTTTACGTTTTTCTAGTCAACTCGGTCAAACTCAAAGTGTTTGTCTCTACTCGCGCGCCGCCTACCGCACCAAAATGCCGTCCGCCACGCGGTATTTTTTGAAATTCGTTGACTCTACCCATCATTTTTTATTTAATTACAAATATCACAATGACGGTTCCGTACTTTCTATTTCCATTTTTTCCGTACTTTCTATTTTTCTTACTATTTTACACAATCTTAGTACCTACATTTATTTTTGTTGTGATCCGAAGACCCCGGATTTTTTATTTTTATATATAAGACCATTGTAGTCGGCCAAGTGCCAAGTATACTTTATACTACATATACAATGAAGCGAACGCAAAAAATGAAAAAAAAAAACACATTATTGGTATGAATATTTATTTCCCTTTAGTAATTAACTCCTTATAAATCTATTTTAGTTAGTATCTATAGGTAACATTTTATGGTTTACAAACCTTTTTTGTAGTAAGTAAGTAATGTAAAACTGGTAAACATTAAATGGTGTTTTCTATTTATTCTATCTATCTACATGTGATGTGGTAGACTGACAGGTTTATTACAGTATGCACTCTTTCTTTGGTTTCAGTAGTGAAGGAAGGAACCCCAATAAAAATCGAACAGGTGCGAGACGGCGTCGGCGCTAAACACGCAGGTCAAAGAGTATGTCAAAGGGCGCCGATCTTAAACTCCGCATTTGAAAATAGACTCTAAGTGTATGAGGTTAGGTCTAATTTAGTTCGTATTCAACAAGACCTAAAAGAGCAGGCCGCCACGTGCCGCAAGTCTTACCAACAAGACCAGAGTTCAAAGATATTTGCGTTTCGACACTTACCGCGAATTTTGATTTGTTTTGTTTGCGTGTTTCAATGTGTGTATGCTTTTTCAGTAACACTTAAAAGTGAACGAAATGAACATAAAAGTGAAAGAAAAGAAAAATATGTGATACAGCCTT